TGGGCAAAAGTGTAAAAATCTATTTTAGCACCTCTGACCTTGACCCATTAAAGGTATTCATCTGCCATATATGAAATATATCAATAATAATAAGTTGTTAGATGAATTCAACTTGCTGAAATAGGTTAACTATCCCATGTCCTATTTTAAAAGTGATAAAAAGGGAAATAACTGGGAAAATGGTTGGCACAGCTATATAACTTAGCATTATCAAGTTTTTAAATTGAAAGAGACTTTTTACATTGGGATAAGAAATTGAAGAAGGAGAATTTATTTTCCAAATCCAAAATCCCATGCATGAGATTCATTGACCCTTGAACTATTCCGCCTTCTTGTTTTACGTAACCGAATGTGTTTCATTTTCAACCATTACCGAGGATTATTAACATCTTAAATTTTCTTGACATTTAAGCTTTCATTTACATTTTGCAACTTTATTTGGTCACTTCTCCTGATAATGTCAACAATTGTAAATTATATCGCAGCAAACATATCTTGTCTAAAACATTGGTCAATTGCACGAAAATGATACGTTGTATGAAAGATAATCGCTGATGACATGTATAAAGATGTATGACGTCATAGCTTCCTCTCCCTTTAAATAGAGCTCTGTGGACTTGATAAGAAAGTGTGGAAATTATAATTAGTATAAATAGAAATTAAGATATATCCAACTTGTCACTTTAGGGTAACAATATCCATTTTCAAAGTCCTGGAAAGGGCATTAACTTGGAAAAATAGAATCCATACTTGCCAAAATCATGTACTATGTATTAATATGTTACTATTATGAAACCATTGGTACAGATAAAACTTAAATCCAACTTGTCGGTTGAGGTTAACCTCGTCCGGAAAGACGGATAGTTCAATTATAATATGCCTGGGGCATAAAAACATATTCAAATTAAATATTTTGAATACCTTTACCAAGAAAAAGTAAATGTAAACCAAAGTATAATGTTTATAACTTTCTTCTTTTGTTTTTTTATTTGTTTTTTTCATAGTCGTTCAATTATTTTTTATGGTTAAAGGATTATACATGTGCCTTCATGAATCATCTAGAATAAATTGCATCAATTTACACACATCAGTCTAACATTTTAAACATAAAAATAGTTCTTACATTAATTTTCTATAACAAAGCAAATGCTTAAAATGTTAGGACACTGTCATTTCTATTGTTTATTTTAGCTCGCTATGATTTGTTACATAAATGGCTGGAATCATATAATTATTTCTCGACTACGAAGTTCAAGAAATTGTTTAAAACATAGTAAAAAATCCTTTTAAACTTAAAGGGACTCCACTGAGGTTTTATGACATGATGGGACGGGAAATTTTTTTTCCAGATAAATGTACAATTTGATGTAGGTTTAGTCAACTAAGCTTTGTGCAATATTTCAGATCATTCGCGCACTTAGTTTTTCCAGAATAATTATTCAAATTGTAAAAATATGACACAAAATGAAAAGCGTTTGAACGCTTTTCACACAGATTGGGCTAAGGAAAGCATAAAAATACGATTTTCAATTTATTTCAAAGTATATTTCTTAACTATCCTTGCATATATTTCTGTTTAAAGTGCCCCAGCTCATTTATGTAAGAAATTCAAATGTTATGTTTTAGGGCTTTTAAACCTCAGTGGAGTCCCTTTAAAATGTTAGTTACAAAACACTTTACTTTTTAACTCAAAACTGTAGTTACTATATACACTTAAACATTACAAAAATCATGAAAACACAACAAACTTATGTGGCAAACGAGCAAAAAGTGGGATACGATACTATAAAAGTTATTGTGCATACACTCATAATTCGAATAAGTTGACAGGAATAACAAAAACATAAGTGTTATGTAGAATAAAATGCTCAAAAGATATTGCGAGCTGATTTCTATCTTGTAAAATGTACAATCTCAAGTGCACTCATTTGTACAGATTATACAATGGTCACTTTGATATTTACTCATAAATGTTTACATTTACATGGGAGTTACATAAACATGTGGTCAATCATTGACAATAATCATATTTATTCATACGAATGACAAATACTTCTGGTCTGGACGAGTTTAGATTAGACAGGTTCCACTGTACAACATTCAGCGTATAAAGATATCCTTCATATTGTACATTTGTACTGGTTGGGGACCACCAACAGGACATCTTTTAAACAGTTTCCCATATAGATTTTATAATTTTAAAGCTGGAGATCTGAAAATTTGACACAGTACAGCTAGGTTCTTCTCCTAACTAACAGACTAGTTTGTTTATTTCTGAATATGTTGACCTGAATTGTCCACACAACTGTACCATGTGTCCCGACAGATACGTCAATGATGCTGATTTAATTCAATAAAAGCTTTGGTGTTTTAATTTTTATTTTTAACATAATACAAAATATTTCAGCAGCAAATGCTGAAGCTTTGAATATTGTATTATTTAATCTACAGATGATTACAGCTAGTATAAGTGGTCAGGTATTTCACTCTTGATGTCAAAATTTTCGATGTCAACGTTCTTGAAAAAGACATTAAAATTTTACCGTTTACGAAAATTGAAATAAATTTAATTCCTAAATTATAGAACCAACATGCAGTTATTGTTGATATAAAAGAGACCGATTGATCAACTACCACTGAACAAACAAGAATTTGAAACAGAGTTACCAACGTCCCCCGCCTCGGGGAAGTTTTATATGAAGCATAAAAGTGTGCTATTTCAAAAGATCTAGTAATGGATTTCAGGACTTTCAGTCCAAAATTATGATCAATGCTAGATCTGCAAATGCAACAATAAATTTATTAAAGAATTACTAGTAAAATGAAACACGGAATTTAAAATTCTATCATGTTAACCATTGACCTCTAAGTGTGACCTTGACCTTAGAGGTAGGGGAGCAGGTGTTGTGCATGACATATCGTCTTATTAATATTACTATTTGTGCCAAGTATTTTCAAAATCCCTTGAACTATGTAGAAGTTATAGATCGGACACAAAATATACCCTATAACACACTATGTCTATCTTTGACCTCTAAGTGTGACCTTGGAGGTAGGGACCTATGTTTTGCGCCTGACATATCATCTTATTATTGTGATTATTTGTGCAAAGTATTTTTAAAATCCAAGGTTATGGACTGGACACAAAATATAACCTATAAAAGACCTTGTAAATCTTTGACCTCTACGTGTGACCTTCACCTTGGAGGTAGGGACACATGTGTTACGCATGACATATCATCTTATCATTGTGACTATTTGTGCCAAGTATTTTCAAAATCCCTTGATCTACGAAGAAGTTATAGACGGGACACAAAATAAACCATATAACAGACTATGTTAACCTTTGACCTCTAAGTGTGACCTTGACCTTTGAGGTAGGGTTGCAGGTGTTGTACCTGACATATTGTCTTATTATTGTGACTATTTGTGCCTAGTTATTTCAAAATCCTGAAGAAGTACAAAATATACCCTAAAACAGACTATGTTAACTTTTGACCTCTAAGTGTGACCTTGAACTTGGAGGTAGGGATGAAGGTGTTGCGCATGACACATTGTCTTATCATAGTGACTATTTGTGGCAAGTATTTCAAAATCCTTACATCTATAAAAAAGATATGGACAGAACACAAAATATACCCTGTAATAGACTATGTTAATCTTTGACCTCCAATTGTGACCTTGACCTTGGAGTTAGGGGTCTGGTTGTTGCGCATGACACATAGACTTATTATAAAATACATTTGTGCCAAGTTATTTCAGATTCCTTTGATAAATGAAAAAGATATGGACCGGACACAAAATATACCCTGTAATAGACTATGTTAATCTTTGACCTCCAAGTGTGACCTTGACCTTGCAGGTAGGTGACCGGTTGTTGCGCATGACACATCGTCTCATTATTGTGACTATTTGTGGCAAGTATTTACAAAATCCTTTGATCTATAAAAAAGATATGGACCGGACACGAAATATACCCTGTAATAGACTATGTTAATCTTTGACCTACAAGTGTGACCTTAGGTGAGTTAGGGGTCTGGTTGTTGAGCATGACACATCGTCTTATTATAACAAACCTTTGAGCCAAGTTATTTCAGATTCATTTGATAAATAACAAAGTTATGGACCGGACACGAAAGTGTGACAGACGGACGGACAGACGGACCCTATTACTATATCCCCCTTTTTTCTTCGAAAAGGCGGGGACAATAAAAAGGGCATTTTCAGGGGAGTCTGGGTTTGGTGGTTGTCTGGTTTTGGTGGTCTCCAACCAGTACACTTTTTCCTTCGTAAATCTGACAATATGATGCTTATATGTAAAGATATATAAATGCAAAAGGAATGGGGAAAACAAACAAATAAACAATAACAACAATATGAGTGCACATACATAGGGGGTAGGAAACACGCCTAAACATTAATATTTTGTAGGAATAACAATCATCAGTGAATATTTAAAGCCTAATATAAACATTGCACTTATACAAATATCATTATAACTTTGGAAGATTTATACTTAAACCTGGGTGTTATCTTTATTGAATGACTCAGTTTCTCTGTGTTACCTAATCTTTCAAGTTGTAACTAATGACTTTTTCATTGTTAAATAATGGTTTTAGAGCATGTAAGATGTTTTTCTACCTGACGAAAGAAGCGTATAAACATGTAAACAAAGTAGTATTTTGACTTCCATACAAAATAATACGTTCTAACAATTCTAATAGCAAATATCTTAATAAAGAAATATATTTCGGAAAATATAGGGAGGAAACATGCTAATATATAGAGAGGGAACGTATTAACAAATTCATACAGACTGTAATCTCCCTTTGTTATAAATAAACTTACAAATGTATATAAAGATTTTGAATGTCAGTGTGATATTGACCTTGACGCGAGGTAGCAAAGACCTGCGCTCCGCACATCATCAGTAATATTGGCTCAAAAGATACAGACGACAAACAAACACAATAATATATATATATATATATACAGCAAATGTTTTCGGGCATATAAAAAGGCTCCATAAATATCAAAACTTTGTTACAAATGTCTCACAATGTCAATTATACATAAATAGATAAATACAGAATCCCTAAAGAAAGCCCAACACGGCAAAATTGAAAATGTTGCAGGCTCGGTTTGATTGAGCCTGTTCATGGACGGTACTGGAGGAAAGTGCAAGTTACCTTCCACGCCCCCTAGCACCGGCTTAAGCAGAATTCAACATTTAAACGTGAAATAGTAAAATTTTGAATTTAGAAACATCCACAGATGTGTTCATACGGCGGTTATCATGGAACCTTCAATGTGACACTTCCGTGCCATTCCATGAAAAGCGGCGTATCGTCCCCAAGTAATAAAAAGCGTGTGCCCTAAACGAGAAAACAATGGTCGGAACTAAATAAAATGGAATTTTGAAAGGAGATCAGAGGTTATGAAGCCTGCGTATCACAGATAAGACGTCAAAAGACAAATTTAAAAAGCAGGCAACATATCCTAAGGGTGATTCAACATTATTCAAGTAGGAATATTGGAACCACCCAACTAGAAAATGCCGAAAAGTTGAAACTAAAAATACCACAAGCACAACAATAATGTCGCGCTGAACGATCTTTAAGGATCGAAACTATAACATCATTGATTAAATGTAGGGGGAGACTTTTTACAGCCGCCACACGGCACAAATAACACGGATGTGATCATTAAATAGATAAATACAGAATCCCTAAAGAAAGCCCAACACGGCAAAATTGAAAATGTTGCAGGCTCGGTTTGATTGAGCCTGTTCATGGACGGTACTGGAAAGTGCAAGTTACCGTCCACGCCCCCTAGCACCGGCTTAAGCAGAATTCAACATTTAAACGTGAAATAGTAAAATTTTGAATTTAGAAACATCCACAGATGTGTTCATACGGCGGTTATCATGGAACCTTCAATGTGACACTTCCGTGCCATTCCATGAAAAGCGGCGTATCGTCCCCAAGTAATAAAAAGCGTGTGCCCTAAACGAGAAAACAATGGTCGGAACTAAATAAAATGGAATTTTGAAAGGAGATCAGAGGTTATGAAGCCTGCGTATCACAGATAAGACGTCAAAAGACAAATTTAAAAAGCAGGCAACATATCCTAAAGGTGATTCAACATTATTCAAGTAGGAATATTGGAACCACCCATCTAGAAAATGCCGAAAAGTTGAAACTAAAAATACCACAAGCACAACAATAATGTCGTGCTGAACGATCTTTAAGGATCGAAAATATAACATCATTGATTAAATGTACGGGGAGACTTTTTACAGCCGCCACAAGTTTATAACAAAATGTAAAGATAACACTCAAGTCTCTGATGTTTATTTGTAGAAATTCACTTAGGTAAGAATAACAAATCTCACGTTAAAAGGATGCAATAAATAATTTAAAAAATATTTAAAGTATTCAAACAAACAATCACTTAGTAAATAATCATAGTGATGCCACACAAAAATGTTACAAGAAAAGTATACATAGATAATGTGGCATCAGACTGTAAATGTTAAAAGATATTCCCGTTCAAATAATTTGTAAAAGAGACAGGAAAAGTAATTTAAAGTGAGAAACCATCAAACTATTTTAAAAAGAAGAAAAAAACAACAATTTAATATTACAAATTATAAAATTTCCTTTACTTACAAAACGAATTGCTTAGATCTTTATGCCATATTGATGTAACTTGTATTTTAATATCCAAATTGCTTAAGTATGAGTGAATTGTTCATTGAAAAACTTGCTCAAAATGACATTTATCTTTGTGTTACTGAAAGAACCAATATGTTTTCATATAGTAAGATTATTTGTTACCTAAAACATAAGGGTTATTTTATGCTTTTGATCATCATATGGGTAATGGCAGTCCCCTTATATCTAGAATGAAGTGGTTTATATATTATAAGGTTGGATTATGTACATGTAGAACATTAGTGCTAAATAAGGGTATATAATAACGTCTATATGTTAATATCAAGAACATAAAGGTAACAATGAAATTGAAAAATTAAAGGCGAACATTATATCCTGTTTCACGAGTCATTCATAGACTTCAATTAACAATAATTTTTCAATAGTTTTTTCCCATTCAATTGTCTTTGAAAGAGCTTCTCTATGTCCCTTCCTTCTTATGAAAGGAAACTGAAAGTGGAAACCTTTGTACCCAGGCCTCCATGACCTGTTCCAAGGTTGTGCATTCATCATCTACTTGTTGATCATTCCGGAATGTGTCTCTTCGTATTTTGACTTTGTGCGTATTCGTATCAACTGAAAGCAAATGCCATACTGAAATCCAAATTACATTCTCCACAGTAGAAGAAATTATCTTTATATAAGTCTATTTATTTTGAAAATATGCAACGAACGGTTTCAGGTACAAGTAAAAAATATTCAAGTTAACAAATGAAATATCATTGTTATCTTGAAAAGTTGACAAAAAACTTGACTTTAACCGCAGTAAATTTTCTGATTACTGTAACTGCAAAGCAATGTTGGTAGATGATAATAAAACCTGTTACAAAAGTACAATTTAACAAGTTTTTTTTCTACAACAGTTAATGATATTTTTTGCCTGATATTTTCAAAAGACTTTCTAAATAAATGTTTATTTATTTCAATAGATTTATGAAATAATTACCTTTAAAAGCCAAAAGAATCTCTTGTTTGACCATGTCCATGTTTTTCAGACACCCAAGAGATAGAGGGATAGTTATACCAGCATCTTTTGAAGAAAATTCTATCTTTACTACTTCGTCTGTAAAGAAAGCAATGTTTTCCCCAAAGCTTTCCAATTTCCAGTCTGGCTGAGGTGCCTTCAGTTCTAAATGTTTGTTGACATAATCATATAAGCTACAAATAGAGACATATTCTGTTCTCGAGTTCCAAAAGCAATCACAATGCTTGCAGTCCTTAGAACATTCTCTCTCTTCTGATCTACCTTTCAATCCTTGAATAACATACTTTGTAAATAAGCTGCCTTCTTCGTTTAGAACCGCCTTTTTATCCTCGCTGCATGCGTTTATCTGAACAAATTTCCTTTTTTCAAGTGTAACCTTTGGAGGAAAACAGCGATCAAGGAAAAGAATTAGCCGGTCAATTTTGTGCAATTTGTCTAGCTCCTTTTGAAATTCATCCAATGATATATATTCTGATTTTTTCCCAAGTTCAAACATATTTCCATCGGTAGAGCTACCACCATGACACGAGAAGTATATCAATAATGTATCAATCTCTTTATCTTCACTGAAATTCTTGATATGCCCTTTTATTTTCAACCATGTTTGCGATTCACCCTTTTTGGTTTTCGATTCTGAATCATCCGGTACGACTGTCTTGACTTTACACTTACTAGAATTTAAAAACAAAGTAATACATAAAAGACATGAACCGAAAAGTAGCTAAATCCATACACGACTTTTTCTCAAAGGCATCACAGGGAGGATATTATAGTACTATACCAAAAGGCATACAAGCCATAATATTTAGACTCATTTCCGGAACACTTAGTTTCATTTTGAGGTGGGCATTGATCAGCAAACTTTTTTTTAAATTTACATAGTGGCATACAACCTTTATTACTGGTATTTACAACTTGCAAATTTAGTGACACCATAAACAAAAGACAGAAAACTAATTATCAATAATTGAGACTTGATGGTAAAAGGTAATTTTTTCAGATATGTAAAAATTGTTTTAAAACCAGTTGTAATGTTGTAGCAGATGTCCCATTCATGTTTAAATATTGAAATATTTTTGATAGAATGTTTACGGGGCGTATCATGTTGGGGGGTAGAAGGCAGGATCAGACCTCAGAGCCTGTGGAAACTATCGCTGAATCTTGTAGATTTCATCACCTCATATTTAGCGGTAATTTTCACGGTGTTTGACCATTAATAATTGCCTGCAGGCGGATTGAATTTATACTGGCCAGTTTTTAATTACAGTGTACGACACCTTCGCCCAGGAAGCCAAACGGGGTAAACAATTAATCTTTTAATTGATCAAAATTATTGCCGATAATTGTTCGTTGGAAGGGGCACATAGATATACCAATCAAAGGATTAGTGTCACCACTGCAAAGCTGTAAGGGATCATAATTGGTCGTTATTAGTGTTCTACAACTAGTTTATAAAAACTTGACAATAAAATCATAAAAAAAGCTTCAAAGTAGATTATTTTTGATTTTTTTTACCATGGCATAAATCATCTCCGGGACACCTCCGGGACAGACACCTTATTCCGGGACTTTTCATGTATGCCAAAAGGTCAAAAGGTCAAGGTCATATTTATCTATAATATACGTTTGGTTATAAGTGCTATTTAGTAAACAAGAGGACCAAGATGGCCCCTAGATCGCACACCTGACTCATCGAACTCATCCGAGCAATTACCTTGACGAGCATTCTGACCAAGTTTCATGACAGGTGAGTCAAAAGTTTTTGATCCCAGAAGACCGATATTCGAATATGACTTAGAAATCATCAAAACAAACTTTCAGACCAATGTCCAGGATATTTGGATCAAAATAGTAGCCACTACAGTGTTAACAGGATTTTTCTATTTTTAGCTCCTTCCAAGATAATTTGGTGCAAAACAGTAGCCACTACAGTGTTAACAGGATTCGTCTATTTTTACCTCTTATGACCTATAATTCCTTTTCCTAAATTCCTAAAATTCCATTTTATTTAGTTCCGCTCATTGTTTTCTCGTTTAGGGCACACGCTTTTTATTACTTGGGGACCATACGCCGCTTTTCATGGAATGGCACAGACGTGTCACATTGAAAGTTCCATGATAACCGACGTATGATCACATCTGCGGATGTTTCTAAATTCAAACTTTTACTCTTTCATGTTTAAATGTTGAATTCTGCTTAAGCCGGTGCCAGGGGGCGTGGACGGAAACTTGCACTTTCCAGTACCGTCCATGAACAGACTCAATCAAACCGAGCCTGCAACATTTTCAATTTTGACGTGTTGTGCTTTCTTTAGGGATTCTGTATTTATCTATTCTACTTTTTCATCGGAGATGACAATGTTCGAACTCATCCGAGCAATTACCTAGACAAGCATCCTGACCAAGTTTGATGACAACTGAGTTAAAATTGTGCCCCACAAAAGTGTTAACAAGGTTTTTCCATATATGGGCGGTGTGACCAAGTTTTTGATCCCAGGTGACCCATATTTGAACTTGACCTAGAAATTATCAATACAAACTTTTAGACCAATTTCCAGGATATTTGATTCCAAACTGTAGCCACTACAGTGTTAACAAGATTTCTCTATTTTTGGCTTCTGTGACCTAGGTTTTCATCTGAGATGACCCATTTTCGAACTCATCCGAGCAATTACATAGACAGCATCCTGATAAAGTTTGATGATGATTGAGTCAAAAATGTGACCACTAGAGTGTTAACAAGGTTTTTCTACTTTTGGCTCCTGTGACCAAGTTTTTTATCCGAGATGACCCATGTTCGAACTCATCCGAGCATTTACCTAGACAAACATCCTGACAAAGGTTGATGATGAGTGAGGCAAAAATGTGACCGCTGGAGTGTTAAGGAACATATGTGGACGGAAGACCGATATTCAAAGATCCTAAAAGCTCATCATTTTTGTTATCCCTGACTGTACAAAGCGCAGAAAAAATGTACGCATCAATTTTAAAAGTCTAATAAAGTAACTTCTCCTAGGTACCTTATACCAATAATGCGTGGTGCCAGTGAGGTAACTATCCTCTCCAATTCAAGTATTTCATTTTTCATGGTATCTGCTTTCTCCTGACTTTCATCATCACCAGCAACCAATAATGCTCCCCATTTAGTACCTTGATAAAGGATATAAAGAGAAATAAAGATAAATAAAGTAAACAAGAGCAGATTGAACCGAGTGATGCTCCCCGACTAGGTTTTAGACACAGAAAAGTATATCTTTTGTAGTTTCAGAGTTATGTCCCAGACAAAGTTTAAAGTGTGATAAAACCAAAGTAAGGCAAGGCAGAGTTACTGTTCTTTGCACTGCACTTCTACTCAATGAGATCTATCAATCGACTTGCGCGCAACACATTGTCTCAATATGGTGATTAATTCTGTGAAATAGTTGTAAATTCTGCTAATAAATAGCGAAGTTATGGACCGGACACCTTTTTGCTGCAAGATCATGCTGTGACCTTGGCCTCCATGGTAGCCACCAAAATGTTTCGCGCGACAAATCTTCTCAATATGATGATCACTTCTGTAAAACAGTTGTGAAATCCGACTTCAAATAAAGAAGTTATGGGCTGGACACAATTTTGCAGTAAGGTCATGCTGTGACATTGACCTTCAAGGTAGCGACCCAAATGTTACGCGCGACATGTCGTCTCAATATGGTGATCATTTCTGTGAAATATTTGTTAAATCCGAATTCAAATAACGAAGTTATGTGCCAGACACGATTTGGCTGCAAGGTCATGCTGTGACCTTGACCTTCAAGGTAGCGACCCAAATGTTTCGCGCGACACGTCGTCTTAATATGGTGATCATTTCTGTGAAAAAATTGTAAAATCCTCCTTCAAGTAACGAAGTTATGGGCGGGAAAGGTTATACTGTGACCTTGACCTTCAAGGTAGCGGTTGAATGTTGTGCGCCACAAGTCATCTCGATAATTTCTGTAAAATTGTTGTAAATCCGACTTCAAATAACAAAGGTATGGGCCGGACACGAATTCGAGACGTACGTACGGACTGACGGACGGACAACCCGGGCGACAATATGCTCCCCCGAAATTTTTGGGAGCATAATAAAGTTTATCACTTTGCATGATTAACGACTGTTGTACTATCAAAGTTTTGAAAGTGTGTAAATAATATGTGCTGTCTGCGCTCTTTTAGACTAGACCACATCTCCTAAAATTAAACAAGAACCGGTTGAACCGGTCAAGGTTTTGGACACAGGAAAGTATATAGAAATTAACAAACGGCAAAACTCCAAAATAAGGCAAGGCGGATTTTTTTTGCACTGCACTTCTACTCAATGAGATCTATCTATCTATAAAATTTCCTGATGGTATCTCTTATAGTTTCAGAGTTATGTCTCGGGTAAAATTCAAAGTGTAAGAATGAACAAAGGGCAATAACTCCAAAATTAGACAAGGCTTTGTTTAGGTTCTTTAAGCATTGCAGTTCTATCCAATGATATCTATCTACCTACAAAGTTTCATGTTGATATCTCTTATAGTTTTAGAGTTATGTCCCGGACAAAAGTCAAAAAGTAAAAGTAACAAAGGGCAATAACTTCATATAAGGCAAGGCAGAGTTATGAATTTTTAGTTCTGCGCTGCTACCTAATGAGACCTATCTATCTACAAAGTTTCATGTTGATATCTCTTAAAATTTTAAAGAAATGTCCCAGACAAAATTTAAAGTATCAAAATGAACAAAGGGCAATAACTCCAAAATTAGGCAAGACAGAGTTACAGAGTTTTGTACACCGCAAACCTACTTATTGAGATCTATCTACCTACAAAGTTTCATGTTGAAACCTTTTATAGTTTTAGAGTTATGTTCCAGACAAAGTTCAAAAAGTAAAAATAAACAAAGGGGGATAATTCAAAAATTAGGCAAGGCAGAGTTACGGTTCTTTTGCACTGCACACCTACTCAATGAGATCTATCTACCTACAAAGTTTCATGTTTGTACCTCTTATAGTTTTAGAGTAATGTCCCGGACAAAGTTCAAAGTGTAAAATAAACAAAGAGGGATAATTCTAAATTATACAAGGCAGAGTTACGGTTCTTGTGCACTGCACACCTACTCAATGAGATTTATCTACCAACAAACTTTCATGTTGATACCTCTTGTTGTTTCAAAGTTATGTCCCGGACAAGAAAAGCGGACGGACGGATGGACGGACATTCTTACCAGAGTTACATTTTGGGGTTTTCTTTTGTTATTTCTTTTGTTCGTTTTAACATCACAATACATAAAATAACCCCACAAGAGAAACGGAATGAATGACATCAAAGACTATTGTTGAGAACAATAGACCAAACCCCATAATGTAGCTCTGTTTTGTACGGATAGACGGACGGACGGAAAAGGCGGCGACTATATGCTCCCACGAAATTTTTCGGGGAGCATAAAAAAATTCTGACTTCTAGCTTCGAAACTATGTGCAATCACATATCTGTGCATATATTGACAGTTTTAAATATTATCATAGTCATTCAACGGGGAGCAAATGTTAGAAATTTTTACCCACATTATTGGTGTAGGTGAACTTCTTTAGCTATGTTAGATAAATAAATAGATCTCAGATTTTAATATTAATGCAATATATCTGTTATAATACCTATCTTGGATGAGAGTCTTTCACCGCAATAACAGATTACTGGATTGAGAAAACTGTTTTTCTCGCAAGCCATACATACTCTTATTTTTTTACGGCAGTTGGCATTATCTTCAGTCAACGAAGATTTTTCAGCTGAAATTGCAACCATATTATGTGCGTGCGTAAAACAAGATTATATATGCAACAGGTGCTCTCCAAATATGCACTTATGCCAATTGTCAGGAAAAAATAATTCAATCAATATATATGTCTAATTTTCTCATAGTTTTGGCTTATTATTTGAAAGTACTATACTGGATTTAAACAGGGCAGTTTCACAACAAATCTGCCTTTAAATGCTAATATAATTTGTAATTAAGCATATCAATGCATAACAAGAAATGTCGAACGACACATGTGCCCCCTTTCTAGCCCTTGACTCACATTATTGGTAATTTTGTTATAAAAACTTCCATAAATAGGTACATGGACGTGTTCAATTATGGAAAAAAGAAAAAGAATGAAGACTTTGTGATAAATAGTTTTCAAGATAATGAGACATGTAAGGCCCCTGTTACCTAGACCTTTGAACTAGTGAACCAAAATAAATAGGGGTTATCTAATAGTTATGACCAATCAATATTAGAAACATAAAGATGTTGTGATAAATAGCTTTCAAGATAATGAGCGGAAACCATACTAACATATAAGAACGCTGTGACTTTGACCTTTGACCTAGTGACCCAAATCAGGGGTCACTTACAAGTTATGACCAATCAGTATGTGAAATATGAAGACTTTGTGATAAATAGTTTTCAAAATAATAAGAGGAAACCATTCTGACAGTTAAGGCTCCTGTAACCTTAATTTTTGATCTAGTGATTCCAAAAGCAATATGGGTCATCTGTTGATTATGACAAATCACTGTGCGAAATATGAAGACTTTGTGGTAACTATCTTTCAAGATAATGAACTGAAATCATGCAACCATTTAAAGACCCTGTGACCTTGACCTTTGACCTGGTGACCCCAAAATCAATAGGTGTCATCTACTAGCTATGACCAATCAATATGTGAAATATGAAGACTTTGTGATAAATAGTAGCCTAAATAATAAGCAGAAATCATATTACCATTCAAGGCCCCTGTGACTTTGACCTTTGACCTTCTGAATCCAAAAAAATAGGGGTCCTCTACTAGTTATGATCAACCAATGTATGAAATGTGAAGACTTTGTGATGAATTGTAACTAAGATAATGAGCTGAAACCATTCTGATATTTAAGGCCCCTCTGACCTTGACCTTTGACCTTATACCCCAAAATCAATAGGGGTCATCTACTAGTTATGACCAATCACGATATGAAATATGACAACTTTGTGATACAAAGTGACCTAGATAATAAGCAGAAATCATATCGTTCAAGGCCCCTGTAACCTAAACCTTTGACCTAGTAACCCGAAAATCAATGGGGGTCACTTACTAGTTGTGACCAATCAAAATGTGAAATATCAAGACTTTGCAATGAATTGTAATCAAGATAATGAGCGGAAACCATTTAGACAATTATGTCCCCTGTGACCTTGACTTTTGATCTAGTGACACAAAAAGCAATACGGGTCAGTGTTGATTATGACCAATGACTTTGTGAAATATGAAGACTTGATAATTATCTTTCAAGATAATGAGCTGAAATCATACTACAATTCAAAGACCCTGTGACCTTTGACCTAGTGACCTCTAAAATGAATACGGGTCATCTACTAGCTATTACCAATCAATATATGAAATATGAAGACTTTGTGATAAATAGTAGCCAAGATAATAAACAGAAATTATATTACCATTTAAGGCCCCTGTAACCTTGACTTTGACCTTCTGAACCCAAAAGCAATAGGGGTCATCTACTAGTTATGAAATATGAAGACTTTGTGATGAATTGTAACCAAGATAATGAGCGGAAACCATTCTGACATTTAAGCCCGCTTTTACCTTGACCTTGAACCTAATGACCCCACAATCAATAAGGGTCATCTACTAGTTATGACCAATCAATATGTGAAATATGACAACTTTGTGACTCATAGTAACCAAGATAATAAGCCTACAGGTCAAATACTTTTTGAGCTATGCATGAACAAGTTGAAAATTGCAAATTTATACTAAGTCAAGGGCAATAGCTCTAACAAAACTGAAAAAACATGCAAAATCCCAGGTGCATAGCTTCACAGTGATGTTGATCATTATTCCTGCAAATTTGAATGATTCTTACTCAAGCACTTAAGGAACAAAAAAACACACATACTGAAACGGCTTTTACTAAGTCAAGGACAATAACTCTACAATTACTGGATAAATCCACAAGCAAAATCTCAGGTGCACAACTACATATGCTGACCAACATTCCTGTTAAGTTTCATGACTCTAGGTTAAATTCATTTTGAGCTACGCACAACACAAATTGACAATTGCAAATTTTTACTTAGTCAAGGGCAATAACTCTGACAAAACATAAAAATACACAAACGAAACCCCACATGCAAAACTTCACATGCTGATCAACATTCCTGCAAAGTTTCATGGTCCTATGTCAAATACTTTTTGAGCTACATGTGACACAAGTTGAAAATTGCAACTTTTACTAAGTTAAGGACAATAACTCTACAAATACTAAATAAATCTAAACGAAAATTCCAAAAAAGCACATTTACACATGCTGATCAACATTCCTGTAAAGTTTCATGACCCTAGGTCAAATACTTTTTGAGTTAAGTGTGACACAAGTTGAAAATTGTATATTTTTACTAAAACAAGAGTAATAACTCTAAAAATACTAAATGTATCAACAAGAAAATACCCAGGTGCACAACTGCACATGCTGAGCAACATTCCTGTAAGGTTTCATAACTCTAGGTCAAATACCTTTTGAGTTACGTGCGACACAAGTTGAAAATTTTAAATTTTAACTATGTCAAGGGCAATAACTCTAAAAGTACTAAATATATCCACATGAAATTAACCAGGTGCACAACTACACATGCTGATCAACATTCCTGTAAAGTTTCACGACTAGGTCAAATACTTTTTTGAGAACGAGAACGGACTGATGTAAGGACAGAGATATGAACAAGGGTAATTCTTAAAGCCCCCCCTAAGTGGGGGTACAAAAACATATTTACCAATTGTAAAACTTTCACCATTGAACTTATGTATAACAACAACATGATACTGTAGTCTTGTTATATTATCAGAATAAAATCTTCATATTTTTTCTTATACTTAATTGATAACAAATTACCAATTGGATTGATGATACATTGATGACATTTAACTTCCTCTTTGTTTTCAAATATCGCACAATCCAATGTTCTTTCCATAATGTTCTGAAATGCATGTAAACATCATGACTACATAATCTTAAGATAAATTGTGTTCAAGTATTATAAAAAAACACGTTTATTTAAATTAAAAAAACTCCATGCTCTATGATTTGAAACATTTACTTATAATAGAAATCCATATCCTTTATTCTTGAAAATGTAAAAAACTTAATATTAATATAAGCATTGCCGAGGACCTAATTTTTACGGCTACATAATCAGAGGTTGCCTTTCATGACATTCAACGTTTACAAACAAATCTTTAGTCAATTGTAATACATACTCGCAATTCATAAATCACTTTTGCTTTGAAATCTTCAATAGTCCATGGACATTTCAAACAATTGTAGGATAAGTCATTCAATGTTTGAATGACTTCCTCACATTTCCAAACCTTTGCCTGCAATTTATAATAACTAATTATCAATAAGTAAATTATGTAAGTTTTAATATACATGTTAGAAAAAAACATACGGTCAGATAGGAAATGAGAAACTACACTCAACAAAATAGAAAAAAAAATATGGAATCAAAACGGCAAATTAAAAATGTTTGCCATTCAATGGACTGGAACTTAAATGGATCAAATTGCACTCTTCTTATCTAATTAAAATGTGGTTTAAGTGATTTGGCGTACTAATACAGTACTGTTCTAAATCGAGATAACTGATGTTTTAATGTTTGGCATCAGCATTAATATATTACACTTTGTATTGGAAAAGTTATTTCAACAATTTCAAACATTTGTTTTCGTCATATATGTTTGTTGTCACCTTATATATCAAACAAATACAATTTGCATAAAGTTACTATATATTGTTGTACCTGGTAAATCTATCAAAAACACTCAAAAGATTAAAAGGACAAAATTAATACAAAAAAATGAGGATCCACAAACTGTTAAATCAAAATTATAAATGCTTAAATTCCAATCAATTACTTCATAAGTAACAGTGCAACTGTTTAGGTACTTTTCTCAAATGAGAACAATATTTTCATCAATTATAAATACATGTACATAAAAAACTACATTAGGTTCGGGTATGAAAAGTTAATTTAAATAACTTTGAATTTAAATGGAAAACTGCAGCAAGAGCCCTAATCGCCAAGTGGTCAAATATTAATCAGGATCTAGCTTAGTTTTGACCATTTTGATATACTAACCATTGCTGTGTCAAAGTAGGGAGACAATTCATTCACAAATAACAAATAATAGCCAGTTGTAGAAAAATCATCCAAAATTACGAAGAATTTACCTTAAAGTCCAAGGTCATTCATGAGTGAAGATCAAGTTCAGTCGGGTAAACTTAAAGGTCTTTCAAAAAGGTCGCTACATTCCATTTATAAATATAAAAGAGACCATGATGAATCGGCAAAACAACCACAACAACAGCCTGTAGCATATAGCTGGATTTTTTTCTCCGAAAAGGTCATTCTTTGATAAAGAGAAAATAGAGCAAAACATAATCCCCAAAGACATCCCAACACAGCAAAATTGAAAATATTGAAGGCTGGGTTTTAATGAGCCTGCTCATGGCAGTCACTGGAAAGTGTAAGTTACCATCCACTCCCCATAGCCAAAACTTTTTTGAAGGGTTACAACTAGACTAATTACTTACATCAAGTCTTTCTTCTATCTGATTCTTTTCCATTAGGAAATGATCATCTTCTTGAAGTTCAAGGCTAGTCAACATATCTCGAATAACTTGTAGGAATAACAACAACACATAGTATCAAACAAAAATATTAGCAATTGATCATTACTTGTACATTACACATGCAAAACAATTCCAGTTCAAATACTAGCTTTTTTCCAAATGAATGTTTTATCTAATGTGAATGATAAGTTATACTTGTCATGTTTGTTTCTTTTTTACTCTGAACGCAGATCATTTGGGTGAATGAACATTCTTTGTTCCCTTGCTGAAGATGAATTACAAATATCCGAATCAGACCTTAACAAGTATTACTTACTTTATAAATGGTTTACCAATAAACTTTTATATTTCTTCATAGTTTTGATTTTTTTCCAGATCAGCGTAATGCAGAACAAAAATGTTAAAGTACATAGTTTTAAATATGTAAACTTTGCAGATTTTGACCACATGTTCACATTTTAACCTACAAAAATAAGAGGGCAATGATGACCCTAATATCCCTCACCTGAATATTTATACTTTCCATGACAAAGAACGAGTAATATTTTAAACTATAAATGAAAGCAATATATAATCTAAATCATAAACTGATATCACAAAGTATATTTATATCTGAAATAAACCACATTAAGAAATATTACTGGTTGTTAGTGGCATGTGAAAACAACAGTTACATGTATGTTGTGATACAATATTAAAGGTTTCCTTACATTGAGATTCAGTTGTATATTAACTCGTTGCTATGGAAAGTTAATGTTAGCTATGAAGTTCCTGATTGCTATGGAAACTGAGCTTTAGCTCTTGTAGATTTAGAGAAGTCTTTACTTAATACATATAAGAAGACAAGAAGCGCCGCAATGCGACGAAAACCAGGTTTTCAACGACCAAGTTTTGATGTGACAGCAATCAATAGGTCAAAGTGCACTGAAGTTATTGAGTAGATACTGAAAATTCTATTGTAAGCAAATTACCTTGACCTTGCTCCCAGATATCTAAGTGGCAATCCAAAGCTGCCACTCAGCAAGTTCGGTGTCAAAAGGTCAAAGCAAACTCAAGTTAAAACATGAAAACTAAATGCATTAACCTTGATCACAGACACCTGGGTAGCAATCCAAAGCTGCCTCTTGATATAAGCTACCCATTCATCAAGTTTGGTGTCAATAGGCCAAAGCAAACTCAAATTATTGAGCGGAAACTGAATTTTATTTTTAGTAACAGTGACCTTGACCTTGATCACAGACACCTGGGTAGCAATCCCAAGCTTCCTCTTGATATAACCTATCCATACACTAAGTTTGGTGTCATTAGGCTAAAGCAATCTCAAGGTATTGAGCGGAAACTGAATTTCTATTTTTAGTAACAGTGACCTTGACCTAGATCACAGACACCTGGGTAGCAATCCCAAGCTGCCTCTTGATATTACCTATCCATACACCAAGTTTAGTGTCAATAGGCCAAAGCAAACTCAAGTTATTGAGCGGCAACTGAATTTCTATTTTTAGTAACAGTGACCTTGACCTTGATTACAGACACCTGGGTAGCCATCCTAAGCTTCCTCTTGATATAATTTATCCATACAACAAGTTTGGTGTGAATAAGCCAAAGCAAACTCAAGTTATTGAGCAGAAACTGAATTTCTATTTTTAGTAACAGTGACCTTGACCTAGATCACAGACACCAGGGTAGCAATCCCAAGCTGTCTCTTGATATAAGCTATCCATACACCAAGTTTAGTGTCAATAGGCCAAAGCAAACTTAAGTTATTGAGCGGCAACTGAATTTCTATTTTTAGTAACAGTGACCTTGACCTTGATCACCGACACCTGGGTAGCAATCCCAAGCTGCCTCTTGATATTACCTATCCATACACTAAGTTTGGTGTGAATGGGCCAAAGCAAACTCAAGTTATTAAGCGGCAACTGAATTTCTATTTTTAGTAACAGTGACCTTGACCTTGATCACAGACACCTGGGTAGCAATCCCAAGCTGCCTCTTGATATTACCTATCCATACACCAAGTTTAGTGTCAATAGGCCAAAGCAAACTCAAGTTATTGAGCGGCAACTGAATTTTTATTTTTAGTAACAGTGACCTTGACCTTGATTACAGACACCTGGGTAGCCATCCTAAGCTTCCTCTTGATATAATCTATCCATACAACAAGTTTGGTGTCAATAGGCCAAAGCAATCTCAAGTTATTGAGCGGAAACTTAATTTCTATTTTTAGTTATAGTGACCTTGACCTTGATTACAGACACCTGGGTAGCAATCCCAAGCTGCCTCTTGATATTACCTATCCATACACTAAGTTTGGTGTGAATGGGCCAAAGCAAACTCAAGTTATTAAGCGGCAACTGAATTTCTATTTTTAGTTATAGTGACCTTGACCTTGATTACAGACACCTGGGTAGCAATCCCAAGCTGTCTCTTGATATAAGCTACCTACACACCAAGTTTGGTGTCAATAGGCCAAAGCAAACTAAAGTTATTGAGCGGAAACCAAAAGTTGACGCCCGTCCGCCGCCGACTTCGGCATTACAATAACCCGGTTTTTGTTGAAAACCTGGTTAAAAAATCTATGTTCCCATGCGGGCCAATTTTGACCTGAGGGCTATTATTTGGAAAAAAAATTGTAGAGGTCCACCAGACAATGTTTCATACCAAATATCAAAGATAAAGCCTCTCCATATTATAATAACATATTTGTTATACTATATAAATAGAAGGAAATGTATGGACTCCTATAATCACGGAACTGTGTCAAATATGTTGTTATTATATAATATACCCTGTTAGTAAAAGATAGGTTGCATTATTCAAAATATGAAACTTACTGATCCCAAAGCTATGAATGTCATTGTATTCTTTGGCACCTTTCCAATCACCTACATAAGGACTGTCGTCTTTTTCTTTGGCCAAACCAAAGTTGATAAGGCGTGCATTTAGATATTTATCCAGGACAACATTTTTAGACGTTATGTCTTGATGTAAAATTGGACCTCTGAATGAGTAGAAGAAAATTTGTCACTGAAATTTATGGCATATATCTACATATCTGTCTAAAGCATAATCACACTGGCCATAGGTGTCGCAGAAGTGGTAAGTATATATCGGTACAATAATGGACCATTTGTTGCAGAAGAAACATAAACCAGTGCTGTTGGAAGACAACAACGCTCGACTACTCGCAAGGGTGTTTCATTGAGTATAATACTGCTAACCTATGTATTCATAACATTGTTTCTATGCCATATCAGTCTTATGGGTTTTGTACCAATAATGTTAGATAATCACAGAGAAGAAGTGTGTGAAGTTTCAATCCCTTCCCTTCACTTGTTATGGAGATACCAGCTTACACGCAAAAACCTAACAAAAAATTTCTAAGTCAAACAAGAGCACCGCTAGGCGGAGCATTATATGCCCGAAAGTATTTTTTTTCTTTTCTAAGGATGAAGCATTTGTAAGACATTACATAAATTAAATAAAGTATTACCTCCTTGAAATAGTAATCCTCCTATAAAGTTTGAATATTGTGGGCCAAATGGAACTTCAGTTATGCTCTGGAAACTGTTTTTAGTTTTGAAGGTAATTAGCTACCTTGAACTTTAACCGTGTGACCGCCAAAATCAATAGGGGTCTTCTACCCAATATGGACAATCATCCTATGAAGTTTTTCAACACTATGGGCCAATTAGAAAGTAAGTTATGTTCTGGAAACTTTTTTTCAGTTTTTTAAAGTAATAGTGACCTTGACCTTTGACATTGTGACCCCGAAAATCAATAGGGGTCTTCTACCCAATATGGACAATCATCCTCTTAAGTTTGAATATTGTGGGACAAATAGACCTTTAAGTTATGCTCCGGAAAACTGTTTTCAGTTTTAAAGTAATAGTGACATTGACCTTTGACGCTTGTGACCCCAAAATCAATAGGGGTCTCCTACCGCAATATGGACAATCATGCCTATGAAGTTTGAACACTGTCAGCCAAATGGAACTTAAGTTATGTTCCGGAAACTGGTTTTTCAGTTTTAAGGTCATAGTGACCTTGACCTTTGACCTTGTGAACCCCAAAATCAATAGGGGTCTTCTACCCAATATGGACAATCATCCTTTGAAGTTTGAACACTGTCGGCCAAATAGAACTTAAGTTATGCTCCGGAAACTGTTTTCAGTTTTAAGGTCATAGTGACCTTGACCTTTGACCTTGTGACCCCCAAAATCAATAGGGGTCTTCTACCCAAAATGGACAATCATCTATGAAGTTTGAACACTGGCGGCCAAATGGACCTTAAATTATGCTCGCGGAAACTGTTTTCAAGTTTTAAGGTCATAGTGACCTTGATCTTTGACCTAGTGACCCCCAAAATCAAATAGGGGTCTTCCTACCATATGGGCAATCATCTATGAAGTTTTGAACACTGTGGGCCAAATGGAACTTAAAGTTATGCTCCGCGAAACTGTTTTTCAGTTTTAGGGTCATAGTGACTTGACCTTTGACCTTGTGACCCCCAAAATCAATAGGGGTCTTCTACTCAATATGGACAATCATCCTATGAAGTTTGAATGTTGTGGGCCAAATGGAACTTAAAGTTATGCTCCGGAAACCAAATTGCTAACGGACGGACGGACAGACGGACGACGGATAGACAGACGGAACGGACGGACGGACAGACGCCCGGGGGTATAACATAATATGCCCGAAATTCTTTCGGGCATATAAAAAGAAACTAAACATGCAACAAGAGCGATCAGTGATCACATATGTCGCCTCATGATGGTCACTTTCATGTTGGGACAAGTTTTGTGACAGACGGACAGACAGACGTACAGTGCACAACTGGACTTGGTAGGTACTGATCATTCCTGTAAAGTTTGGATAAAATTGCACAAGTAGTTTATGAGGAGTAGTCCAGACAAGCTTTTGTGTATCTGGCAACACACAGAAAAAACACCTTTTTATCAAAGGGCCATAACTAGGCCAAAATCATTCAACCGGAAAACCCGTGCAATATGCGCCAGGACTTGAGCTACAGATCAATCCTGTAAAGTTTTATTGAAATTGCTTAAGTGGTATAAGAGAAGTAGTGCGGACAAACTTTAAAAATAAAAATTATTAAAGGGTCATAACTCTGACAAAAATCATTGAACCGAAAAATGCTGACAATATGCACAACTAGACTTGGTACTGATCATTCCTGTAAAGTTTGGATGAAATTGCACCAGTAGTTTATGAGGAGTAGTCCGGACAAGTTTTGTGACGGACGGACAGACATTTGACGGAGAAGTGATCCCTATATGTCGTCACTACTCCGTAGAGGCGACACAAAAACGAAAATCAGAGTTATGAAAATTGTGTGAATCATGTACGATTATCACAGACAACAAGTGTGTGAAGTTTCAATCAATTCCATACAGTAGTTATTGAGATACAAGCTTACAGGCAGAAACTTAACCAAGAATTCCTAAGTAGAAAAAGGGGCATAAATATACAAAAAAAGCAAATAAGAGTTATTGGATTTATGCCTATCATGTAGGGAAATCACAGAGAAGAAGTGTGTTTAGTTCCCATCCATTCCCTTCAGAAGTGACAGAGATACCAGCTTACATGTAAAAACTTAACCACAGGGATGCCGAATACCGACAGATTGGTGAATGCATAGTTCGAATTTTTAATCTTCGAATAGTCAAGCTGAAAATGAGCTCTAGCTCAGACAAAATTTAACTTTATGCATAAACATTTTACAACAAAAACCTAATAGACTCAACCCACATGTTACTTACACATACAACAAATGAAATTTTTAAAGATGTAAAAACAACTGACAAAGAACCCCCCTAAAAGGGTTTTTGGGGTATTATATTTTATAACCAAACCTGTTTTTGTTACGGGTTTTTTTGATGAAGTATGAAATTTGAAAAAAAATTTTGTAAAGAAACACACTTTTGGTTTAATAACAATGCAAAGCCATGGACAAAAAATTCAAAAATGCGTTTGAGCGTTTGGTTTTTTACACAAGTTTTTTCTTCAAATTTTTCACTTAAAACACATTGCCACTTCAATAAATGACAATACCGTAAAGACACAAAAATTTTTTTAACCCCTATCTCATTTCTTTTTCTTCTTTTTACTTAAGAAGAGTTATGGGGCTTTTAAGATGGCAAAACTATGTAATATCCAAATAGAGTTTGGTTTCTTTGGGCATACAACTTTTTCTAAAATTTTGGGTACCATTTTAGAAAATTTTTTTAATTCCAACAGTAATTTTACAAAGGAAAAATTTAAATTTAAGGGGGAAAAAAAATCAGAAATAGTCAAATTTGAGAGGTTTTTTTGGGCCAGGGGATTCTCCAAAAAGCTTGGCCAGTAAATTGTATTGAATTCCAACCTAGCCTCCAAGTTACGCTCCTAGCAAGGAAAATGCAAAAGAAAAGTAACAAAGGGCAATGACCCCATTATTACTTTAGATTGAGTTATGGTTCTTGTGCATTACACTTCCTCCTATTGTGCTTGACCATTGTATGAAGTTGAATTGAATTCCAACTAGTGGTTTTCAAGTTATGCTCCGGACAAGAAAAAGCAATAGAAAATTATAAAGGGCAATAACTTTGTAATTAATTTTGGTTCTTGTGCACTGCACTTTCGCTTATTGTGCTTGACCATTGTATGAAGTTGTTTTGATTCCAACCAGTAGTTTTCAAGTTATGCTCAGGGCAAGGAAAAGAAATTAGTCAATATTGAGTTATGGTTTTTGTGCACAGCACCTCCTCTAAATTTGCTTGACCATTGTATGAAGTTGTATTGAATTCAATCATTTGTCTTCAAGTTATGCTCGGGACAAGGAAAATGCAACCTACTGCTGGACCAACCGACCAACAGACAGACCGACCACAGGGTGACTCCTATAACCCCCCAACTTTGTTTGGGGTATATAATGAATGTTGCACCTGATATCAAGCTAAATTGTGCCTGATTTGTTTCCTTTCTTAATTTCAGAGCGTCACATTTTTTAAGGTTACCTTACATGTCTATAAAGTCAACAATGATTTCATTGCATATTTACACACATTTTCTTTTATGTTCAAAAGGAAAAAAATGAGACTTATGTTCAATGCTTGTTTTGATGCAGGACTACAGCATTTGTAGTCAATTCCTATGCATCAGAACGGCGATAAATAGCCAATAAACACCACTGAGACCAGACCAATATTATCTGTAAACAAAACTGTAAGGAAAACCTTAAATAACTGTTACATGTATATTTTCACATTATGTTTCTATTTAAGGAAATGCAATGACTGCATTTTTAATTAATCATCTTATGTACATGTATCTTTAATATAGATATTGCTGATTGCATGACATTGCACAATGGTCCTACCTATACAACTGTGGCCTGTACCAGATGTGAATACTCGACGAAAGCATCTACATAAAAATAAGGTTATATATAAATGAAAGGTTTATTTCTCTTTATCACGAATATTAGATTTATGTATGGAACTCAGGACATTCAGTCCAAAATTATGATCAATGCTAGATCTGCAAATGCAACAATAAATTTATTAAAGAATTAAAATGAAACACGGAATTTAAAAATCTATCATGTTAAGCTTTGGCCTCTAAGTGTGACCTAGACCTTGAAAGTATTGAAAGTAAGAAATTATGGATCGGACACAAAATATACCCTATAACAGACTATGTTAATCTTTGACCTCTAAGTGTGACCTTGGAGGTAGGGACCAATGTTTTGCGCCTGACATATCGTCTTATTACTGTGATTATTTGGGCCAAGTATTTTTAAAATCCCTTGATCTATGAAAAAGTTATGGACTGGACAGAAAATATACCCTATAAAGACTATAATAGACTATGTAAATCTTTGACCTCTATGTGTGACCTTGACCTTGGAGAAAGGGACGTGTGTTACGCATTACATATCTTATCATTGTGACTTTTTGTGCCAAGTATTTTCAAAATCCCTTGATCTATGAAAAAGTTATGGATCGGACACAAAATATACTATATAAGAGACTCTGTTAATCTTTGACCTCTAATTGTGACCTTGAACTCGGAGGTAGGGATGCAGGTGTTGCGCATGACAGATCATGTTAGTATAGTGACTATTTGTGGCAAGTATTTACAAAATCCGTAGATCTATGAAAAAGTTATGGACCGGACACAAAATATACCCTGTAACAGACTCTGTTAATCTTTGACCTCCAAATGTGACCTTGACCTTGGAGGTAGGTGACCGGTTTTACGCATGACACATTGTCTTATTATTGTGAACAATTGTGTCAAGTATTTACAAAATCCCTTCAAAGATAAGAAAGTTATAGACAGGAAACGACATATACCCTCACATAGACAATGTTGACCTTGAATGACCAAGTGCGACCTTGACCCAGAAAGTGGGGGTCTAGTTTTGCACATGACACATCTTCTTATTATAACAAACAATTATACCAAGTTATTTTAGATTCCTTTGATAAATGACAAAGTTATGGACTGGACACGAAAGTGTGACGGACGGACGTACTCACAAAATCGTACTAATGTGACTTTTCCTTTGATCTTTTTTTTGGCCATTTTTAGTCACACAAGGCTTTAAAAAAAGACACACAAGTAAAAACGGAATGTATAGGATCAAAGAGAATTGACTGTTACCCATTGTTCTCCAAGTCACACAAGTACCTCTGGGTTCGTACGGACAGACGGAGGGAAGTTCTCACAGGACAGTAATTATGACGCTACTCTATTGCTCTTTCTATTGTTATTTTAAGCCACATACAAGAAAATAGCCACATAAAAGCATTACGAAATTAATGACATCAAAGAGAAAGAACAGTTACCTATTGTCCCTCTAGTTACATAATTACTTTCCTGTAGGTGCGGACGGACAGACGGACGGACGTACATCCGGACTGAGCTTATTTCTATATCCCCATTTTTTCTTCAATTAAAAGAAATTAAATTAAAAGAAATCAAAATTATTTCTAAATAGACGGGAGACTCATTTATTACATTTGTCCGGAACATGTTTTATCTAAATTATCAATATTAAGCTCTATATTGATACATGACAAAGTACTATGCTCTTGTCAAATGAGTACTTAGAAATAACCATTTATGCAACAGTCATATTTATAGACCGCTGTGATAAATATCCCACTGCAGCAGCGATGGACACACCGCTACTGCAAAACATGTATCTATGACAATGGCTTTGTTGCACTAAGTTAAGGAATTTATTTTCATTTTATTTGTCATCCTTTTTTTACCAGGCACTTTGGTGTGTTATAAAATCACATCTGTCGCATTCTTTTATCTGCACCGTTATGGCATTTCCATGGTTATCTAAAGTTGTCTGAGAATTAAAATTTCATGAATAACTTGAACTTTATTAGAATTATAAACCATAGTATATTATAAATTCCGGGTTACTCTGGATCATCTCTCATATCAAGAAGTAAGTAAACAGATACCTGACATTCTGGACAGGGGTGTGAATATACTGTATTGCTAGCGCAATTTGCAGTAAAATCTTCACTCTTGTAGCCTGCTTATTTATGTTTATCTCATCTGTACTGTTCTGATCTTTACCTCTTGCAATTGCATCATGGAGATCACCGTTTTCACAATAAGGAGATATTAACCAAACTTCCCTGAATGATTATATAATCATCATTTAAAAAACCTTTAATATAAGTAAAGGTTAATAATAATTGGTATTCATATTTCAAATATTTGGAAAATTTAAACTGCTATCAACTTGAATATACTAAAATGAAAGGCAGTTCCAGCAAACTCATTTTATGGACATAGGAGATATGATCAAAAAGTTCTCGGCCCGATATACTTCTAGCCACTACACTGACAATTACATACGACGCGTCAATATCAATATCTTATTGAAGATTTCTGAACGAGTTACACGCAGTTCTACATAGATTAAGTAACATCAAACTCACTTTGATCAGTAGAGGGTTGTGTCATTTAGACCAAATGGAAAACGTTGAAATCAAAGCTGTAATTAAGTACCTCTGTAAGAAAGGGATGTCCCCCAAAGAAATCCATAAAGACTCCACGTATACACTTAAAAAAGAATCCCCTTCCTATAGCACTGTGCTGCTGAATTTAAGAGGTGCAGAGAGAGCATTGGAGATGATGAGCGGTCTTGGTGGCCAAAAGCACAAATGATGAAACTGCCGAAGCTGTGCTCGATCTAGTCATTTGCGACAGAAGGCGAGAACTTCGAAGCATTGTTAGGGAAGTGGGTATAAGCTTTGGTTCACGCAATTCTGACTGATGTCTATAGCATGTCAAAGGTTTCCGCTAGTTTGGTCCCCAGACAGTTGAATGACGACCATAAATGGCCCAGACTTGACATCTCAAAATATCTTTTGTCTCGTTACGAGGATGAACCCGACTTTATCTACCGGATCGTTACTCAGGGTAAAACATGGGTCCATCACTTTGATCCAGAATCCAAAAACAAACAAGAGCCCGGTTTGAACCGGGTGATGCACCCCGAATAGGTTTTGGACACAGGAAAGTACACCACTTGTAGTTTCAGAGTTATGTCCCTTGAAAAAGTTCAAAGTGCAATAATTCCAAAATTAGGCAAGGCAGAGTTACTGTCCTTTGCACTGCACTTCTAATCAATGCAATCTATCAAATAACAAAGTTTCTAGTTGATATCTATTATGGTTTCCAAGTTTTGTCCCGGACAAAGTTCAAAATGTAAAAATTAACAAAGGGCAATAACTACAAAATTTGTCAAGTTCTTATGCAATTCACATCTTTTCATTGAGATCTATCTACCTACAAAGTTTTATGTTGATATCTCTTATAGTTTTACAGCTATGTACTAGACAAGATTTTTCTAAAAGGGGAGAAAATTGAAAAACAAGACTAGACAGAGTTATGGTTCTTTTGCACTGCACTTCATTTAATGACATCTATCTACCTACAATGTTTCATGTTGATATGTGTTATAATCTAAGAGTTAAGTTCCGGACAATGTTCAAAATGTTAAAATGAACAAAGGCAATTACTCTAAAATAAGGCAAAAAATGTTATGGTTCTTGTGCACCGCAAATTTACCTATTGAGATCTATTTACCTACAAAGTTTCATGTTGATACCTCTTACAGTTTTAGAGGTATGTCCAGGGCAAGATTTTTCTAAAAGGGGCGATTATTCAAAAATGGGGCAAATAGAGTTATGGTTCTTTGACACTGCACTCTGCCTCAATGCCCTTTACCACTGTGTAAATTTTAAACAAATCATCTCCAAGGGTTTTTAAGTTATGCTCCGGACAAGACAACGGACAGACACGAAGCATAAACAAGAGGGCCATGATGGCTCTGAAATCGCTCACCTGTATAGGCCCCCTGGGCTGGTCAATTTTAACCCAGGGGCTTTTATTTGAACAAACTTGGTAGACAAACATTTGAAGATGTTTCTTGATAAATATCTAAGCTCTAGCTGTAAGAAGATTTTTTAAGTTGTAACTGAAAAACAATGACGCCCCTCCTCCTCTGAGCTGGGCCAATTTTGTCCCCAGGGCTTTTATTTGAACAAACTTGGTAGTCACTCACTAGTAAATAGTTCATGCTTAATATCTAAACTCTAGCTCTTTTGGGGCGGGGCCAATTTTAACCCAATGGCCCTTATTTGAACAACAAGAGTTGTCACAGGACAACGAAGCTGGACAAATGAAATACTGGACGCAGTAAGGAAGACAAACCTATGAAAGAAAAATAATTATGTATAATAATGTATTAAGTTATAGTAAAATAATAACATCTGTTAACATAAATTCCAAGTTCAAGGGGAATAATTAATATAGTCACGCTAGAGTTATGAACCTTGTCACACAACATGTGTGTAACGATAAGAAATATATATTTGAAATATGAAGTAGGTTAAATAGTAAAGAAGTTATAATATTTCTTAAAGAAAATCCTTAGTTCAAAGGGAGATAAATCTGAAAGTATTGCTTAAAGAGTTATGAACCTTGTCACATAAGATGTAATTAATGGTAAGGAATATGTATTTGAAGTTTATCGTATATACCTTTAAAACCAAAGACGTTATAGTAAAAAAAAACATTTTTCATGTTAAAAAAATATATGTGCATGGGAGGATAAATCTGAAAATATTGGTACTAGAGTAATAAACCTTGTCACATAAGATGCGGTTGATGATAAGGAACATATATTTGAAGTATTATGTTGATCCCTTCAGAAATAAAAAGAAACAGTTAAAATAATATTTTTTCAGGCTGTCCAGCACCTTCTGACAAAAAATTAGGGCAAATTTTAGGGCAATTTTAAAGAAATTTTAGGGCTAAAATTAGGAATTTTAGGGTAAATAAAGGAAATTTTAGGGCTAAATTTGGAATTTTATAACTAAATTATGGCCTCAAAAGACCATGATATGGGCTCAACTTTGCATATTTGACACAAAAGTAACTCACAAATAATGCTCTTGTTCGGTTATAGCAAAGGTGTTACCTGTGTTTCATAGTCACCAGTGAAGAAATGGATTCACTGGTCAACTGCCTTTAAAAAGAGCTAAAAAACTACATTAAAACATAACTAGAATGAAAACATTTTCAAAGTTATAAGTATCCTGGAACAACCAATATTCAATTAGTTAAGCTATGATTAGCCAATATTAAATGGAAGGGGAAATTATGCTTTAGATTTATTTTAGCTATAAATGCATTTCTCATTTTAAGGTTGGTACATTTTCAACAAGTCTTGATCTTTCTCCAAAAACAATAAAAATGATATGACCCACTTAAGTCATTCCCAGGAATACTTAAACTTAATTTCAAACAGCAGGGTATACATCTATGATGAATTTGTTTAAGATAAATCAGGCTACTAAAAAGTGTAGAAAATTTCACAACAGTGTCATTTTTTTCCCTGATTTTCAAAAACTTTACACTATATGTTATAACATATGTTCAGTACATGTTAATGTGTACAAAAAGGGAAACTGACGGTGTCACTTCTTAGTATACTAGTTGGGAAACTTGTCTAGATCTGCCAGCTGGTATCACTTACAAAAGATCTGTTCTACAGCCATCACTTGAAAATAACTTGATTATAAATTAAGATTTTATTAATAAGGACCCCTACATAAGGAAAGTCTGAGGAAATTTAGTGGTACATCATGTAAAAAGTTGCTTTAAATACACCTAAGATTGAGGTAAATTGTAAAACCCTGTAGCAAATAAAAATGTAACTTTAACAGGTGACTATTTTGATATAGTCAAAGTTGTACAATTTTCATTGTTCCATTTAAAACAAACAGTTTCTTATAATTTTTCTGATAACATCTGGCAATCAAATATAGCATTTCAGCAGGAGTTGAAGTAAATACAACATGTGACTTCATGCAATTAAGTCAGACATGACATCAGCTCCACTGTGTGTGATTGAAACATGGTTGTTTAGCGATATGTTTATCACAAAAGATAAAAAAAATAGGAATTTAAGTGAAAAAATAGGGCTTTTTTAGGAATTCCCTTTGATTTTTTCATTTTTTTAGGAATTTTAGCCAAACTGAAAAAAATTAGGATTTTTTAGGAATTTTAGGGACGCTGGACAGCCTGTTTTTTAAATAAAATACTAAGTCCAAGGGGAGATTAATCTAAAAATATTGGTGTTTGAGTTAAGAATCTTCTCACATAGGATTTGGTTGATGATAAGGAACATATATTTGAAGTATGAAGTTGATCCCTTAAGAAATGAAAAAGTTATAGTGAAAAATATTTTACTGCATCAAAACTTTAATCTGAAATCTGGACGCCGACGCAAGTAGGACAGCTCTCCATATACTTCGTATAGTCGAGCTCAAAATGGTAGACACCAATTAGAAGATGTTTCATGCTAAATATCTTAGCTCTAGCCATTAGGATTTTTAAAAAAGAGAAGATTTTTTAAGTTTTTACTAAATACATAAAGGGAAAAACAATGACCCCCTGGGACAGGCCAATTTTGACCCAAAGGTTTTAATTTGAACAAACTTGGTAGACACCCACTAAAAGATGTTTCATGCTTAATATCTAAGCTCTAGCTATTTGGGCTTTTTAAAAGAAGATTTTTAAAGTTTTTACTATATTCATATAAGGAAAATCAATGATCCCCTGGCAGGGCCATTTTTAACCCCAGGGCCCTTATTTTAACAACTGGTAGACAACTATTAGAAGATGTTTCATGCTAAATATCTTAGCTCTAGCTCTTAGGATTTTATAAGAGAAGTTTTTACTATATACATAAAGGGAAAAACAATGATCCCCTGGGGCGGGGCCAATATTGACCCCAGGGCTTTTATTTGAACAAACTTGGTAGACACCCACTAAAAGATGTTTCATGCTTAATATCTAGCCTCTAGCTACTTGGGCTTTCTAAAAGAAGATTTTAAAGTTTTTACAATATACAAATAAGGAAAATCAATAACCCCCCGTGCGGGGCCAACTTTGACCCCAGTGCATTTATTTGAACAAACTTGGTAGACAGTGACTAGATAATGTTTTATGCCAAATATTTAAGCTCTAGCTCTTTCGGTTTTCTAAAAGAAGATATTTTTAAGTTTTTTTCTTTTAGGTGCCATGGCAACAAGAGTTCTGTTTGGAATTAAATTCTTAGAACAATATTTAAAGTTGACAACCAAAGCAACATTCCTTGAGCAAGGTTATACCCATAAACAGTACGTACTATGCAGACGAATTGAGACGTCTGCGTGAAGAAATCGCAAGTAAAAGGAGGGGCAAACTGACTCAAGACATTCTGCTCCTGCATGACAATGCACAAACTCATACATCCAAAGTTGCGATGACTGCTGCAACTGACTGCGAATTTGAAATTCTTCCCCATCTCCAATATTCTCTGGACTTTGCCCCCTCTGACTTCTACCTGTTTCATAAACTGAAAACCAAGCTTCGTGTTAGATGTTTAGGAAGCAATGAAGGTTTCATGGAGGCGGTCCAAAATATCGAATTCTATTTTGAAGGATTAAACAAGTTGATGCACAGATGGGCAAAGTGTATTGATGTAAAGGGCGATTATAATGAAAAGTAAGACCATAAGTTGGGTTCTCTGACTACCGAAAGTACATCGGGCCATAAACTTTTTGATCAATTCTCCTAGATGAGATTTTCATTAAATCAATTTTAAAAAAAGATTATTTATCTGTGGATGTCAGTTCCAATCATGGAAAATGTTTTAATTCAAAAATCTGATCTGTAAAGTGATGTGATCTAAATAAATATTTTATAGCGTTACTGAAAAATACAAAAACAAAATACAAGATGTATTTTTGAAATGTACAATGTTTCGCAAGTAAGGCCGGGTGTGCTTGGGTAATAAGGATTCATCACACAGTTCATTCGAGATAAGACCTGTACATTAGTCCCGTTTTTAATTCTACCAATGAACTGTTAATACAAAATGTGTTGCTTTAAAAACTGTAGATTTATGTTGAAATACATCCATTCCTTTCAATAGTTACACTAATTTTTTATTAAAATGACATCTTTGGATGATTTGATTTTGTCTATGCATACGAGCAGCCACCAATACAACCATGGATGCTATCGGAAATAAACAAGCAATTATCATAGTATTGCAAGCAATCCATAAGTCCCCTACCGGGTAGAACCCGAGCAACATTCTGAAGGATCATTGGGCATTGAATTATGTCATTGAATGAATAAATGAATGAATGACATAAATGAACTTAAATCTTAGGGGTTATTAGTGTGTCTATATCTTAGTAATGTGTTAAGTTTCCCTGCCCAGTAATGTAATTATGTTTATACAACAGATATCTGAAGATCAAATTTTCTCAGGATGAATATTTATAACTTATGTTTCAACTTTTCTCTGTATTTGTTGGAAAGGTTCTTTAAAAGTGGTCTCAGGAAACAGTTTTTTAGAATCACACAAACAAACAAACTAACAGACACTCTGAGAGTAAATCTTTATGGAAGCTAGATTTATAACCCTTGTCATAATAATATGATAAGAAATGAAGAAGTTTGAGTAAATAAAACAATTTCTAGAAAAAAAATCTAAGTTCAAGGGGGATTCTGGAAATAGTCAAGCTAGAGTATTGTACCTTCTCCCAAAATTTGAAGTAGATGCATTAAGTAATTTAAAAATAAAGAAGTTATAAGTGAAACTTTTTTTTTCATGAAAATTCTAAGTCCAAGTTGGTAATTCTGATAACTTTTGTACTAGAGTAATAAACCTAATGTCACATATGATGCGGCTGATGATCAGAAAGTTATATTTAAAGTTTGAAGTAAATACCTAAAGAAATAAAGAACTTATAGCGACAAAGTGTAAAAACTTGAATAAGAAATCTTGACGAGGTCGCCGACGATAAGTGAGTAAAACAGATCTCAATATACTCCCTATTGTAAATATTAAAATGATGTGTATAATCACCATACTGCCATCTATCCATATTTTATGTTTCATATAAATGTTTTCACTACTTCTTGAGTAATCACAAATATTGTTATATTTGCAATATTTTCAAGCTATTTGTTGTCATTGCAACCAAAATTTTCAATATAGGAAGAAAAGAAAAAGGCATGCATAATCTCAAGACTGCCATCTACCCATATTTCAAGTTTCATAAAAAATATTTTCAGTACTTTTGCGTTCACTGGATCCAGTTTATGTGTTAAATTAGCCATATTTTCAGTCTATTTGTTGGCACAGCATAGCAAGAAAAAGACAGACGTGCAAAATCTTGAGACTGTCATCTATCCTTATATCCAGATTTGTGCACGGATGGACAGACAGCCAGACAGACAGACATCCTCAAAGTTTGGTATTTAAGTGACTACTCTTTTGTTCTCTCTATTGTTTTTTAAACACTTAAGAGAAAAAGTAGCCACATAAGAGCTTACTGAATGCATCAAAGGAATTTTACTGTTAGCTATTGTTTCCATTACTCCCTAAGTATCTTAATGTTTGTATGGACAGACAGACGAACGGACGGACAGAGGGTAAACCTAAAGTCATATCCGGGTAAACCAGTAGGGGGCTTATAAGGATATAACTTGATATGGGAACATTCCTGTGAAGTTTGTATTAAATCGGCTTAGCGGTTTATGAGAAGATGTCGTTTAAAGTAAAAGTTTACAGACAGACGGACGCCGGACGAAAAGCGATCACAAAAGCCTTATAACCCTATAATGCATAGATGCACTGACAGACAAATTGTGATGACAAAAGTTCACCTCCTTTACTTTGTGCTCATGTAAACTAAAAAAATATACTATAAATACTATTTCAGCTTACTCTTTTGATTTTTCAACAGCAGCTAGGAGAGGGAGTATGAATGGGTTCATGAGTCTGCATGCTATCTTCTCCTAAAATGCAAAAATTTTAATCAGTAACAACAGTTTAAAACATGAATGTGTTTGCTCATTGGAAGAATATATATGTAGTAGAGCAGATTAATTCAATTTTAAGAGGTCTTTTGGTAATGAAAACTGATGACTGATTTGAAACCTATGTGAATACTGATGGCTGAATATAACAAAGGACAATAACTGGAAAATAATGCAGGATAAATTATCATTCTTGTGTGCTGCACTCCTCTTCAATGAAATCTATCCATCTATGGAGTTTCAAGTTGATATCTCAAAGGCTTTTATAGTAATGCTCTGGACAAAAATTAAGCATGAAAAAAAAACAAAGGGCAATAACTGAAAAATAATGCAGGGTAGCGTTATCATTCTTGTGTGCTACACTTGAGACCTATCTACCAATAAAGTTTCATGTTGATATCTCAAAGGCTTTATTAGTAATGCTTTGGACAATGAAGTTTCAAGTTGATAACTCAAACACTTTATGAGATATGCTCCGGACAAAAAGTATGAAAAATAATAAAGCGGAATAACTCAAAAATTATAATGGGAAGAGTTATCGTTCTTGTGCACAGCATTCCTCCTCAATAAGATATATCCATCTATGAAGTTTCATGTTGACATCTCAAAGACTTTTTTTGAGTAATGCTTCACTCAGGTGAAAAATTAAGTATGAAAAAAAAAACAAAGGGCATTTACTCAAAAAATTTGAAAGGTAGAGTTATCATCCTTGTGCACTGCACACCTTCTGAGTGAGATCTGTCCACCTATGAAGTTTCATGTTGATATCTCATAAGCTTTTTGAGTTATGCTCTGAACAAAGAATAAGTTTAAAAAATAATAAAGGGCAATAACTGAAAAACAATGCAGGGTAGAGTTATCATTCTTGTGCACTGCACTCTTCCTCTACATGATCTATCCACCTATGAAGTTTCAAGTTCAAACCTAAAATTCTTTTTGAGATATGCTCCGGACAAAAATGTCGGATGGAAGGACGGACGGACGGAAGTAAGGACGGACGGATACTATTTCTATATCTCCCGCCGCCTTTCGGCGAGGGATAATAATGCAGTAATAGTGTGACCAAACAGTCACATTCATTAGAGAGGTATTAATTTCACAGTAAATCATAATCCATTTTACACAATGTGGGAAAATTTAAATCATGAAGTGCAAGAGACTGAAACAGCTAGGATAATGTTCTCTGAAATGGTTTTTGAAGGAAGGCCTTACATAACAAAGAGAGGGCCAAGATAACCCTCATTTCGCTCACCTCAATATTAATACTCTCCATGACAAGGAACAATTAATATTGTAAACGATTAAGGAAAGCAGATATAAAATCTTTAGCATAAGCTGATATCAGAGCGTTCATATTTGTATCTAATGTAGTGCATACACATGCAAAACAATTACTGGTTGCTATTGCTAAGGGAAAACAACAGTTACAAAAGACGTTACTAGTTCCTATACAAAATAAATGGTATCTTTGGAAGTAAGTGCCTGCTAAGAAATTCAATGGTAGATTCAGTCGTTGCTAAGGAAAGTTAATGTTTGGTATGGAAGTCACAGGTTGCTATGAAACTTTACAGTTTGCTATAAAGTCATCAATAGCTGGCTGATATTGAATCTAAGCTTTAGCTCTTCTAGATTTAGAAACAAAAATTTCTGTTTAATTTTTTTACTTTATTTTTAAGTATATGTTCCCCGGGGGTCGGGCCAATTTTGACCCGAGGGTTATTATTTAAAAAACTTGCAATGGTGCTACAGACAATGTTTCATATCAAAAAAAAAATTGACCAATTTTTTTATAGGTCCAGCAGATAATGTTTAATATCAAATATCTAAGCTAAAGTCTCTATAGTATAATTTTTTTTTGGCTTATATTAAATGCATATATGGAAAATCAATGAACTCTGGGGTTATAAGCCAATTTTGTCCAAAGGGCTATAATTTGAACAAACTTAGTAGAATAAACTAGAGGTCGTGGAGGACAAAAAGAAACCACATGTCACCACCTAATAGGTTAAAATTATTTATTTAAGTCTACTAGTTTCGATCAAACATGATCTTCATCAGGACAAAAAATAGATAAATTATGCCATTTAAGTGCTAAAAAGGAGGTTTCAAAATGTACGTCTGTTACTATAAATAGTAACATGTGATACTATTAATAACTCAAATTTGGAATGTTGCCAAAAAATTTTAAGTCTTAGAAATAAAAATAAAATCTATAAATAGAACCTACAGTTAGTTGTCTATAATTTCCTTGATGGTTTAAATGTTACTGCTAACTATCCCATATATGCTATAAACGTATATAAATTGTTTGTCAGTATCATTATACATTAAATGTTGATCCTGACGCTTGAAGGGGGGTTAACCTCCGTTGGTGTTTGAGATAATGGTGACATTGGCGGCGGTATATTAAAGACTAGAGTGTCCATGTTTTGTCTGCTGTTGAGATCCTTTGGAAGTTCTTCTTTTTTAGGCGGTGTAGTATAGGCTTTTTTAAAAATTTGAGGTCCTGTTTTCCCCATTATTAAAGTGACATTATGCCCATCCAAGGGTAAATAGTGAGTAAACATGTGAATATATAAATAAGTTTTCATTTTGCAATAATTCCTTTTGATGTAATAAATAATTGAATTCGCAAAAACAATAGATAACACACGGATCCTAGGGAATTTTCTGTAAAGATCCATTAGAATTTACGTGTACCGTTTAGTTTATAAAAAGAGTGGGGGAGTCTTTTTATATTTAAGGCAGATTTATAATTTTATCCAATATCACCTGTTGGTCAAACACCATTTTAACAGTCAATCTTTTGAAATATTAAGTCAATTCAGCTCAACTTGACTATGAAAATATGAGCATAATGTCACTTTAATCTGAATTTGAGCTTCTTTGGTGTAGTTTTGTTGGTGCAGGCTTTTGTTGAAGGTTGATTTTGAGGTCGGCTCTCCTCAATTTTACGGTAAATTTCCTCTTCAAAACCATGGACGTTTTTTGAGTAATGTTTCAAGTTGTCTCGTCTAGTATATAGTTTCTTGCACCAGGAGCACTGGAATTTTATTACTGAATGTAAGTGTGTAGCTTTATGTCTGTTAAGTAGGTTCCGATGTTTGGTTGAATAGCCACATATTTCACATAGATGTTAGGTTTTTTCTATAAAATTTAATTTCTCAGGTTCTTAGTAGAAGTATACTAGATAATGCTTCATCTTGTCAAAAAAAAAAAAGGTTTAGCTCTTGAAGCTAAAGGGATTAAGTCTTTAAGTATGTACATATAAGGAAAATCTATGTCCCCCACCCCTGTGCGGGTCCAATTTTGACCAAATAATTTGAACAATTTCTTTAAGAAGTCCACCTGACAATGTTTCACAAATATCTTAGCTGCAGCCTCTATAAATAAAAGTTCAAGAGCCATTATTCAGTTCATTGAGATTTTCATGCTATATAACTTATTAGTTATTTGTAAAGATCCTTTCAATAAGGAAAATTTAGACATTTACTTTTGATTTTTATAAATATTTGTTGATATATTAAATCATCATAAATTCAAAGATAATAATTTAAAATCTTATTAACTTTCTTGACTTGACTTTATCTTATTAATCACAAAGACATGAAGTCATGTCAGACACATTACAGCTCAGTTTTAACAATATTGGACAATTTGTACAGGAGGAGATGTTGTTTTAAGAAAAAGGTTGCACACCATTTTCAAAGGACGCGAGGTGGACCAGAGTGATCACAAAAGCTCACCCATGAGCACTTTGTGCTCTGGTGGGCAAAAGACATAAACAAAAACACATACTTCAATATGTTGTTCCAGTTGAATACAGAAACTGTTTCTATGTTAATGATAATTATAGAATACATAATAAGTTACAAAGAAATAGTTACCCTTCTGACTTGACTTTCAATTTTTGGATCACATTTTGTTTTAATCTTCTTCACGGCAACAGGAATTCCAAATATTTCCTGATTGTCTGTACAAATACCGAAAGAACTTGGGTTAACAGTATTGTATTTAGTTTATTGTTGAACCCGATCTTGGCAATTGATAACTTTGCTTTCAAATCAACAAACACAATAATTTTTTTTTTTATTCCTTAACTTGCAGTATTACCAAAATATAACATTTTTAAAAGGAAAATTCTTACAAAGGAGATAACTCTTGAAATAAAAATGCAAGACGTCATACATGATGCGAGTGTAACAAAGAACAATTAGTATTGAAGTTGTTGATAATGAATATTTATTTTGAATTTTAAGTAAAAGAAAGTTAATAGAATGAATATTAAAGAAAAATACAAAGTTTAAGGAGGAAATAATTCTGGAAATATGGATGCTAGATTTATAAACATTGTCATTTTATTATGATGTGGGAGTTTGAAGTAAATCCAATAAGTAATGAAGATGTTGGAGTAAAATATACCAATTTCTCAAAAAATTATTACCTAAGTTCAAGGGGAACATAATTCTGGAAATAGTCTTGCTAGAATATTGAACCTTCTCATAAATGATTTAAGTGATAATAAGAAACATATATACGAGGTTTGAAGAAGATACATTAAAGAATAAAGAAGTTATTAAAAAAATTTGTGCAAGAGTTGTAAACCTTGTCACATATGATGTGGTTTGTGACCAGAAACTTATATTTAAGGTTCGAAATAAATATCTTAAGAAATAAATAACTTATAGTGAAAAAGCCTAAAACTCTTAACGAGGTTGCTGACGTTTGCTAAATAATACTACCTATAGTCAAGATTAAAGTGATGTGTATAATTTCTGCCATCTATCCACATATTAAGTTTCATATAAAATTTCAGTTCTTTTTGACTTATCACAAATATTGTTATATTTGCCATGTTTTAAACCTATTTGTTGCCATGGCAACAAATTTTTCAACATAGGAAGAAAAGAAAAAAACATGCATAATCTCCAGACTGCTATCTACCCATATATCAAATTTCATAAAAATAGTTTCATTACTTTTTGCATTATCACTAGATTCAGTTTATGAGTTAAATTTGCAATATTTTCAGTCTATTTGTTACCAGAATTTTCAACATAGGAAGAAAAGAAAATTACCATAATCTCCATACTGCAATCTATCTATATATCAAGGTTCATAAAAATATTTTCAGCACTTTTTGAGTTATTTCAGTACTTTTGCATTATCGCGGGATCCAGTTTTGTGGACTGACGGGCTGACAGATAGACTGACGAACGGAGGGTAAACCTAAAGTCCCCTCCGGTCTAACGGTAAGGGACTAATAACGATTGCTATCCAAAGATGCTCCACAAGTCATTAAAGGTCAGTTTATACAATAATAGAAGAGAATATTGCAACACAGCTTTTGGCCTCAACAAGTTAATATCAATAGAAAATGCATGGAGTAAACAAAGAATGCACTGGAAAATAAAACAACAATGACATGATAATTAACGAGAGAATCAAATTGCAAAATAATCTGCTTTTAAGTATTTGCTATTAAGACTTAATTATAACAAGCAATTATCATAGTGTTGCAAGCAATCCATAAGTCCCCTACCGGTTAGGACCCTAGCAACATTCTGATGGACCATTGGCCATTTAATTTACCAGTGAATGAATGACATGAATGAACTTAAATCTTTTGAGTTCTTAGTAGTCTATATCATAGTAATGTGTTAAGTTTCCCTGCCTCGTAAGGAAATTATGTTTATACAACAGATAATCAAAAGGTCCAATTTTCTTAGGATGAATAAGAGTAACTAATGTTTCAACTTTTCTCTATTTTAAGTAAATTTGTTGGAAAAAATCTTTAAAAGTGATCTCAGGAAACAGTATTTATCAGCAGACAGACAGACTGAAGGAGACTCTTAAGTTATTTTTTTAAACATTCCTGTTACTAAAATATAACAGATTCTAATGCAAAATTGTAAAAGAGGAGATAACTTTGAAATAAAGATGCTAGATTTATGAACATTGTCATTTTACTGTAAGTTTAAAGATACCATTTAAAGTCACAAGGAAGAAAAGTAACTAGAAATGTGTCCAAAGGACACGGGTGCCTCCACCGCGCCACTGTTCTGTCAATCTTATGACTCTAGGTCAAATATTTTTTGGAAACTAAAAATCTTTTACTATGTTAAGGGCAAAAAATTTAAAAATACTGAATAAATCCACAAGCAAACCCCAGGTGCATAAGTACACATGCTGACCACCATTCTTGTAAACTTTCAGGCCTACAAGTGAAATACTTTTTGAACTATGCATGAACAAGTTAAAAATAGCAAGTTTATACTACTGTAAGTCAAAAGCAATAAGTCTAACAAAACTGGAAAAAATCCACAGGCAAAGTCCCAGGTGCATAGCTTCACAGTGATGTGAATCATTATTCCTGTAATTAAGTGATGATCGGGATTCATTATTCCTGTAAAGTTGGTTGATTCTAACTCAAGCACTCAAGGAACAAATAACAACATAATGAAACGGTTTTTACTAAGTCAAGGGAAATAACTCTACAATTACTGGATAAATCCACAAGCAAAACCCCAGGTGCAAAACCCCAGGTGCAAAACCAAATATGTTGAGCAACCTTCCCGTAAGGTTTAATGTCTCCATGGCAAATAATTTTTGAGTTACATGCGACACAAGTTGAAAATTGCAAAATTTTCTAAGTCAAGGGCAATAACTCTAAAAATACTATATAAATCCAGACAAAAATACCCAGGTGCATAACTTCACATGCTGATCAATATTCCTGTAACGTTTAATGACTCTATGTCAAATCCTTTTTGAGTTACATGCGACACAAGTTGAAAATTGTAAAAAAAATTCTAAGTCAAGGGCAATAACTCTAAAATACTAAAAATAACCAGACGAAAATACACAGGTGCACAACTACACATGCTGATCAATATTCCTGTAAAGTGTCATGACTCTAGGTCAAATACTTTTGAGTTACGTGCGACATAAAAGAGAGAGGGCCATGGCCCCTTATTCTATTGTTACGGAGTGAACTCTTTTGTTCTCTTTTGTTCTGTTTACTGTTAGATGGCCCCCTAACCCTATTTGGTTAGAAGGACGGACGAACGGACAAGGGTAAATCTAAATGCCCGCCACTAAAGTGGGGGCACAAATTTTTTTTTTTGAATATAGCATTAACTATAATGTATAGTAAGTAACAAAGATGAAAATTAAAAAAATATATAATGTAGGTATTGATAATGAATGTTTATTTTGAATTTGTATAAAATCCATGAAGAAATAAGAAAGTTGAAGGATGAATAAGAAAAATTCAAAGTTTAAGGAGGAGATAATTCTGGAAATATTGATTCTCGATTTATAAACCTTATCATATTATTATGATGTGGGATTTTAAAGTAAATCCTATAAGGAATGAAGAAGTTGGAAATACCAATTTCTAAAAAAAATCTAAGTTCAAGGGGGTCATAATTCTGGAAATAGTCTTGCTAGAGTATTTAACCTTCTCACAAATGTTGAGTGATTATTAGAAACATTTATATGAAGTTTGAAGTAGATACATTAAGAAATAAAGAAGTTAATTAAAAAAGACAACATTTTTTTCATAAAAATTCCAAGTTTTAGGGAGGTAATTCTGATAATTTTTGTGCTGTAGTTGTAAACCTTGTCACATATGATGTGGATGATGACCAGAAACTTATATTTAAAGTTTGAAGTAAACACCTTAAAAAATAAAGAAGTAATAGTGAAAAAGCGTAAAAATCTAATAAAAAATTTTAAAATTCAGTCTATTTGTTGCCATAGCAACTAGAATTTTCAACATAGGAAGAAAAAAAAAGATGTGCAAAATTTCCAGACTGTCATCTACCCATATTTCAAGTTTCATAAAAATATTTTCAGCACTTTTTGAGTTATTACTTGATCCAGTTTATGTGTTAAATTTATCTCCATACTGCCATTTATCCATATATTAAGTTTCATAAAAATAATTTCAGTACTTTTTTGCGTTATCGCGGGATCCATATTTGTGGACGGACTGACAGACAGACAGATGGACAGACGGACTGAAGTTAAACCTAAAGTCCCCTCCGGTTAAACCGGTAGGGGACTAAAAACATTTATTTGATCATTAGCCCAATATGTTTCAGCAGTTAGGCCTATGTTGTAAAACAGTTGTTCTACTTTCTTTTATTATTAACAATGCAATGTGTACAATTTTTTCTTGAAATATTTACAAGAACTGCACATTTCCGTCATTTATGATGCAAAATTTGTGGGGTTAAATTTCGTTAAAATGGTCTGTTAGCCATCAGCAATTTTATGTACCAAACTTTCGTGAGGGTCTGAAATTTTTCGAAATATGCATCCATTTAAGTAGTTTATACATTTTTATTTAAGTTCGATTGTGTTCGAAGCTATAAGCTCTAGAAACACTCTAGAATCCGTTCCTGGCACCAACCAGTACTAAGCAATGAATGTTTAGTTTCTTGCTTAAGGTAACAATGACTTGCCCTCTGTCAGGGCTTGAACCCACATGGTCAGCAATCCTTAGATAACTAGCCCGATGCGTTAACCACTCGGCCATGCCACCAGTCCATTTACTGAAATCTGATTGAAAGCTTAACAGTTTAAGGTGACAACTAAGAAGGTTACAATATCTGTAGATTAATGTTTGCAAATTTCTATTTCCATTATAATGAAATATATTCCAAGTGAAATTCTGTGTGAAGTTTGTCAATCAAGATTGTTACTGCAAAAATGTGATCCCATGAAAACTGTCAGAAAGTTGTTTGCTGCGATACAGATATTAAAATTGAAATCTTACAAACCGATACTCACAAAATTGAAAAACTTTTTTTGGTATTTGTACTTTGCCATGTTTACTCTTGTAGCAGTAACTATAAAAACACGCTTCTTAAGAAGCAATTGATATGTTCCACGAATTTAACCACAAATTTATTGTTGCATTCTTATGTGCCACGACATAATTTATTTTGATAAAACTTATTTTTTTTTGTAAATTATTATAAGAAAAAATAATGCTGTAACAAATGCAGTCACTATATTGCAAATTCTGAATTAGGAGATACACATACTTACTGCAAAGATATACTTTGCCTTTTCCTGTAGGCTCTTCATTTAATGATGATTCCAAGATGATTATTTCATGGTTTTGCAATAGCATCAATCGGCCATCAAAGATACAGGAACTCTTTTGAAACATTTTTGTATCTAAAAAAGAATGTGATGAAAGTTGATATTTACATTTGTTTTAAAAGTAAAGCATACTATTATTTGTTTATTTTAATACTAAATAAAAAAAATTAATTAATACAAGATATCAAAAAGTATTTAAAACATTATCAACATCTATTGAGTGCGCGGGCAAAAGGGAATCTTGTTTTACTTCTAAAGGCATACACGCTGAAGAAAGAACAAGAGAATGGTTTGACAAAAAACAACACATCATTTCATTACAGATGTACATAAACATTTTACATCTGCACTGGATGGCCAAGAGTATGCAAGCTTGATAAAAACTTATTGCAATTTAAAAAGAATTCTGCATATGATTATTTAATTTATTTTATACGCTGTATCCAAAAGCTTGTCACACGCGACTATAGAGGGTAAACATACACACGGCTGTAGCTGAAAATAATACACTTTACTATGGAGAATGAAGAAAACACACATCTTGACCACATAAATTACTGATAAGCTAAGTCTATTTCCAGGTTGCATTTATCCATTAATAATTTTCTATGTGTTTATAAATATTGTAAATTTAGTTTAAACTACTATTATGTCTTTTGATATAAAGTGTTCAAAGCCAAAAAACTCTGTTAAAACATGTTGATTAAAATTATAAAAAGTTAAAGAAAAAGAAAGGACTCATGATAAAGGCTTTATCTTTTTACTCTAAAGGTTACATTTGTTTTTACAAAAGTATATGAAGCATTTGCTTGTAAATTTAGAGTGTGAAGTGAAAAAGGCCGATTGTAGGAAAATCATGGCTTTGGTGCCATGCATGCAGGAAAAATATACTGAATGTTTCTAAATTTTGTGAAAGTTTTGCATTTTACATAAAAAATATGACAAGATAGGCTATACGTATAGTAGCATGTACAACACAAGTTGAATGAAATCTTCTATTTGTGGTTATTTTTATAAATTAGCGTTGGCAAATTATTTCAAAACCATGCTTGTATTTTAAAAATGAAATGACTAGATGGTTAAATACCTACAAAGTATGTGTACATGTATATAAACTTGATGTGTGATACCTTAGAAAATAATAATTATGGTAAGACAGAGGAAAACCAGCTTTATCTGGAACGACACAAAAATCTGATTCGAAGTACTTATAACAAGAATACGTTTGAAACTGTCTGACAAGGGAAGCTGCCATTACTTTTAAGTTTTCACTTTTGTTTATCAACATAGCTTCCAGATATTGCTAGTCATATTTTTGGTTAGGTTTTACGACACACCAAGACAGAAGAGATCATGTGGCGATATTCAAGATTTACTGGTTGGTGACCCTCCGCACAAGCGGTATAACCTTACCTTGTTAGTGAACAGTGTTTGACTAATCCTTGTCATTGTCATTGTTAAACATTCTGACAGACTATAGCAAGGAAAAGGCTATTCATACACTGAATATCATACACTAAAAGTATTATCATATACCTCTTCTACATGAAACAAACTTTATTTTTATACTCTTCTGTACTGTTGGTGATCACACAATAAGTAATTTGATATAACATGAAGAACAATGAAAACATCCTAGATTTAAAGTTGATTCATTTAATATCTTAATAATACCAAATGGTTATTCAACTGATACTTACTGAGCCAATACTCTGTAAGCTCCTTCGTTTGAAACACATGCTCTTCTGTCGTGCATTTGCATACAACTTCTGACTTTTCTGACAGTTCATCTTTTGAGAACATGTTTTCAATTGAATTATGCTTTGAAGACGAACATTTGAATAACACCTTTAGGTCACCAGACCGTTTCAAACAGTTGGTGAGCCGGTCTAAGAGGAATGTGTAAACATCAATACATACAGATTGGCTAGGCTTTTCCTTTTTTGTGCTGTATTTTGTGAGCCATATTTGAATAACATGATTGAAAAAATACACATAAAGTGTATGGTTTTGTTCAAGATCAAATATAGCACATCCACGGTAAACCAAGTATTTTCCATCTTTTTTTGATAGCTGCCATTTATTGATACAAGCTGCAAGGAGTTTGTTGAAAACAGCTGCATGTAGAAATTGTAATTTTGTTGTCAAGCATAGTTTACTGGTCGACCTCCTATTTTCAGGTAAGCGTTCTGAAGATAACAAATCATCTGGTGGTGTTTGTTTCAGGAAACATGGAGCAAAGTAGTAATCAGTTACCTGTAATGTTTGAACATGAAGTTACAGAAAATACTTCTTAAAAGGACTCTTCTGAGTTTTTTTGACATGACCGAAATAAACAAATATTTGATCGTCAGGGCAAATAATCCGTGTGCATATTGTTAAATGACTCCCTCACCCCATTTTACCAGAACCATCATTATTTTGCAAAATGACTAAATATTGTTGTTTTTTAAAATCCCTATTACGAGTTTTGATAAAGAGCATTAAAGCTGCATTATAAAAATATGTAAAAATATTTTGGCATCGGCCTTAAAACCTAGCAGTCTCCCCTTTATTAACCTTTTTTATAGAAGTGTTGTTAACCTTATCAAATACTGTTCAGAAACTAGTACTGCCACTGTCATCCGCAAACAACTTTGTCAGAATCATGTACTAGTCATAATGAACCTCAATACCAAACATGAAGACTGTTGACCAAAGCATTCTTAAGCAATTGAGCGGATAAGCTTTCTAAACTTATGGCCCTTGACGTTAAATTTTGACCCAGTGACCTCAAAATCAATAGGTGTCACAAAATGGTCATGACCAATCATGCCAAATATGAAACTGTTGGACAAAGAATTCTTAAGTTATTTGGCGGACACATTTTTTGAAGTCAAGGACCCTGTGACCTTTGACCCAGTGACCTGAAAAACAGTATTGGTCTGCTAATGGTCATGACTAACCCTCATGCCAAATATGAAGGCTGAGGGTCAATGGATACATACGTTATTGGGTGGACAAGCTTTTATAGTCAAAGCCCTTCTGACCTTCACCTTTGACCTAGTGACCTCAAAATCAATAGGAGTCATTTACATGTCATTATCAACCTCAATACCAAATATGAAGACTTTTGACCAAAACATTCTTAAACAATTGAGTTGCCAAGCTTTTTGAACTACAAGTCCCTTTGACCTTGATCTTTGATCTAGTGATTTAAAAATCAATAGGGGTCACCTAATGGTCATGACTAAACTCCATGCCAAATATGAAGACTGCAGGACAAAGGATTTTTAAGTTATTTGATGACAAGCTTTTTGTAGTCATGGCCCCTGTGACTCTAACCTTTGACCTAGTGATCACAAAATGAATAGGGCTCATCTACTTAACATAACCAATTTCACCACCAAATATGAAGACTGTTGATCAAAGCATTCTAAAGCATGTCTTTAGACCTTTTGACTTCAGTCATTTATATCTAATTACTTTTGACCAGTGATTTAAAATAAATCAATAGGGGGACCCAATGCATGAAATAATTCTTTCCTTTTTTTTTTGAAAAATTTTTTGGTTTTTCCCCTTTAAAAAACCCCTTTTTTAATTTTTTTAAAAGGGGGTTTTTTAACCAAAAAAAAAATTTTAAAAACCCCCAAAAACCTTTAAAAATTTTTTAAAAAATTTTTAAATTTTCCCCCTTTTTTCCCAAAAATTTTTTAAAACCAAAAAAAGTTTTAAACAAATTTTTAAATTTTTTTTCCCCCTTTCCCCCAAAATTTAAGGGGGAAAAAAATTTTTTTTCCCAAGAAATATTTTAAAAATTTTTTTTAAAAAAACCCTTTTTTAAAAAATTTTTTTCCCTTTTTTTTTGGGGGAAAAAATTTTTTTAATTTTCCCAAAAAATTTTTTTTTAAAAAATTTTTTTTAAAAAAAGGGTTTTTTCCCCAAAAAAAACCCCCTTTTTTTTTTAAAATTTTAATTTAAAATTTTTTTTTTTTAAAAAAAAAAAATTTCCCCAAATTAAAATTTTAAAAAATTTTTTTTAAATTTTTTTTTTTGGGAAATTTTTTTTCCTTAAATTTTTCAAATTAAAAAAAAAATTTTTCAAAATTTTTAAAAAAAAAACCCCAAAATGGGGGGGGAAAAAGGGAAAAAAAAATTTTAAACAACCGGTTTTTTCCCCAAAAAATTTTTTTTAAAACCTTTTAATTTTTCCAAAAACCCTTTTAAAAAAAAAAAAAAAATTTTAAAAAAATTTTTAAAAAATTTTTTTTAAAGGTAAAAATTTTTTTTTTGGGGAAAAAAAAAAAAAAAAAAAGGGGGGGGAAAAATTTTTTTTTTTTTAAAAAATTTTTTTTTTTTTAAAAAATTTTTAAATTTTTAAACCCATTTTTCCAAAAATTTTTAATTTTAAAACCCTTTTTTTTAAAATTTCAAAATTTTTTTTTAAAAAAAATTTTTTTTTAAATTTCCAAAAATTTTTTAAATTTTTTTTTTAAAAACCCCTTTTTAAAAAAAAAAATTTTTTTTTTCCTTTTTATAAAAAACCAAAAAAAAAAAAAAATTTAAAAAAAAAAATTTTTGGGTAAAAAAAAAATAAAAACAAAAAAAAAAAAAAAAAAAAAAAAAAAAGGGGAAAAAAAAATTTTTTTTTGGGTTTTAAAAAAATTTTTTAAAAAATTTTTAAAAATTTTTAAAAAAAAAAAAAAAAGGGGGGAAAAAAAAAAATTTTAAATTTAAATTTTTTTTTTAAAAAAAAATTCCTTTTAAAAATTTTTTTCTTTTTAAACCCCCCTTTTTTAAAAGGGCCCAAAAAAATTTTAAAAAAATTTAAAAAAAATTTTTTTAAAAAAAAAAAAGGGGGAACCAAAAAATTTTTTTTTAATTTTGGGCCGGAGGAAAAAAAAACCCCCCCAAAAAAAAAACCCCTTTTTTTGGGGGGGGAAAAAAAAAATTTTTTAGGGAAAAAAAAAGGGGGAAAATTTCTGGGGGGGGAAAAAAAGGGGGCCCCCCCCAAATTTTTTTTTTTTGGGGGGAAAAAAAATTTTTTTTTTTTTTTTAAAAAAAAAAATTTTAAAAGGGGGAAAAATTTTTTTAAACATTTGGGAAAAACATTTAAAATTTTTGGGGGGTTTTTTTTTAAAAAAAATTTTAAACGGGTTTTTTAAAATTTTTATTTTTTTTTTTAAAAAACCCCAAATTTTTTTAAATTTTAAACCCCAAAAAAAAAAAGGGAAAAGGTTAAAAAAAAAAATTTTTTTTCTTTTTAAAAATTTAAAAAAAAAGGGCCCCTTTTTGGGGTTTTTTAAAACCCTTTTTTAAAAAATTTTCCCCTTTGTTTTTTTAAAAAAATTTTTTTTTTTTTTTAAAAATTTTTTTTTTTTAAAAATTAAAATATATAAAATTATATATTTTTAAAAAAAAAAATTTTATAAAAATTTAAAAATTTAAAAAAAAAAACCCCGGTTGAAGGGGGGCCCCAAATTTGGGTTTTTGGGGAAATTTCCCCTTTTTTTTAAATTTTAAAAAAAAAAAAAAAAAAACCGGGGGAAAAAAAAAAAACAGAGTTATGATTTGTTTGCACTGCACTTCTACCTAAGGAGATCTATTCACATACAAAGTTTCATGTTGATATCTCTAATGATTTCAGAGTTATGTCCCGGACAAAGTTCAAAGTGTAAAAATGAAAAAAGGGTAATTACTCCAAAATTAGGCAAGACCGAGTTATGGTTCTTTTGCACTGCTTTCCCAAACATGAGATCTATCTACCTACTTAGTTTCATGTTGATATCTCCTATAGTTTTAAAGGTATGTGCCGGACAAAGCTCAAAGTGTAAAAATGAACAAGAGGGCCATGATGGACCTTAGTGGCTCACCAAAAACAACTGTTTTTCAGTGTTATTTTTCAAATGAACTTGCTGAAAGGCCAGTCCAGCTCAACTTTGATTTCCCCTCTAGTTATATACTTTCACAACACTGATTATTTTATTTTTTTCTTCATAATTAACAAAAGGGCCAAGATGGCCCTAGATCACTCAAAACATGTGACCCATCATTTCATTGTTCACTACATGAATTGAAATATTTTGACCTAATATCTTGGAAAATATTTCTTAAAAATATCTTTGTTGCAAGTGGGTTCCCTTGAGACTATGTCGAATAAATGCAGAATACAGGACCACTACAGCAAGGTTTATTTTGATGGAACATTTTTTTATAACGTTTTTGAATGAATACACAAAATGTCACATGCAAAATACAAATGTATGTAACGTATAATGTTTGAAGCTTACAGTTTCGGGCGACAAACTTTTTATACATCCTATATGGTAGCATAACTTATATAATACTTTAAAAAATGACAATAGGCCAAACAAGGTAAAAAAATATCAAAAAGAAGGCCCAATGATAACAAAATTCAATTCGGCATCAGAACTTACACCCCTGGTCCCAAGTCAAAAAATAAGAAAGTCGGTCAAAGGATATAAAAAATATCAAAAGTCAAATAATATCAAAATTCAATTTGGAATCAGAAGGTACACCCCATGGTCCAAATTTCAAATCTGTATGTCACAAAGCAAAAAGGTAGGTAGAAAATAGGTCAAATAGTGTCAATAATTTCATAAATAGGTCAGCTGATATAACAAGAGGGCCATGATGGCCCTGAAGTCGCTCACCTGTATATAGGCCCCCGGAGCGGGGCCAGTTAAAACCCCAGGGCTTTTATTTGAACAAACTTTGTAGACACCCATTAGAAGATATTTCATGCTTAACATCTAAAGTCTAGCTGGTCAAGTTTTTTCTTTACACATATAGTTAAAAACAATGACACACCTGGGGCAGGGCCAGTTTTGACCCAAGGGCTTTTGTTTGAACAATCTTTGTAGACACTTACTAGAAAATGTTTCATGCTTAATGTCTAAACTCTAGCTATTCGGGTTTTTTCAAAGAAGACTTTAAAGATTTTGCTATACACATATAAGGAAAATCAATGTCAGCCGGGGCGGGGTCAATTGTGACCCCAGGGCTTTTATTTGAACAAACTTTGTAGACACTCACTAGAAGATGCTTCGTGCTAAATATCTAAACTCTAGCTATTTGAGTTTTTTCAAAGAAGATTTTTTAAAGTTTTTGTATAACACATATAAGGAAAAGGAATGACCCCCGGGGCGGGGCCTATTTTGACCCTAGGGCTTTTATTTGAACAAACTTGGTAGACACGCACTAGAAGATGTTTCATGCTTAGTATCTAAACTCTAGCTATTTGGTTTCTTTCAAAGACGATTTTTTAAGTATTTGCTATACACATATAAGGAAAATCAATGACCCCCGGGGCGGGGCCAATTTGGCCCCACGGCTCTTATTTGAACAAACTTATTAGACATCCATTAGAACATGTTTCATGCTAAATATCTTAGCTCTAGCTCTTTGGGTTCTTTAAAAGAATTTTTTTTAAGTTTTTACTATATGCATATAGGGAAAATCAATGACCCTCTGGGGCGGGGCCAATTTTGACCCCGGGCTTTTATTTGAACAAAATTGGTAGACATCTATTAGAACATGTTTCATGCCAAATATCTAAGCTCTAGCTCTTTTGTTTTTTAGAAGAAGATTTTTTAAGTTTTTGCTATATGCATTTAGGGAAAATCAATGACCCCTGGGGCGGGGCCAATTTTGACCCCAGGGCTTTTATTTGAACAAACTTGGTAGACACCCATTAGAAGATGTTTCATGCTAAATATCTTAGCTCTAGCTCTTTGGGTTGTTTAAAAGAAGATTTTTCTAAAGTTTTTTTCTATATGCATATAGGGAAAATCAATGACCTCCTGGGGCGGGGCCAATTTTGACCCCAGGGCTTTTATTTGAATAAACTTGGTAGACACTCACTAGAAGATGTTTCATGCCAAATATCTAAGCTCTAACTCTTTGGTTTTTTTTAGAAGAAGATGTTTAAAGTTTTTTCTTTTGGTTGCCATGGTTGCCTTTTGGTTGTCATGGCAACCAGAGTTCTGCATGGAAGGGAATTCTTTGAACAACTTTGTTAAGGCTTCACACAAGGAACATCCCTGTGAAGTTTCATTATGATATGCCTTATGGTTTCAGAGGAGATGTCGTTTGAAAAGTGTGAACGGACAACGGACGACGTACGACGGACGACGTACGACGTACGACGGACGAAGAGTGAACCTAATAGCTCACCGTGAGCATATGCTCAGGTGAGCTAAAAACTCAATTCAACATCAAAAATAACACCCTTATATTAGTCCAAATTTCAAGTATTTATGTAAAAAAACAACAAGAAAAACATGTACGTAAAATAGATCGGATTATATCAAAATTTGATCTGACATCAGAAATTACACCCTTGGTCCAAATTCCATGTCTGTATGTCAAAAAGCAAGAAAGTATATCAACCGATATCAATAATATTAAAAGTTGGTCAGCTGATATCATAATTCAATATGACATCAGAAAATTAGACCCATGGTCCAAATTTCTAGTCTGTACATAAAAAAAGAAACAAGTAGGTCATGCGATATCAAAAAAATAACACAAGAGGGCCATGATGGCCCTGAAGTCGTTCACCTGTACATAGGCCCCCTGAGCGGGGCCAGTTTAAACCCCGGGGCTTTTATTTTAACAGACTTGGAAGACACCCATTAGAAGATGTTTCATGTTAAATATCTTAGCTCTAGCTCTTTGGGTTCTTTCAAAGAAGATTTTTTTAGTTTTTACTATATGTATGTAGGGAAAATCAATGACCCCCCTGGGGCGGGGCCAATTTTGACCCCAGGGCTTTTATTTCAACAAACTTGGTAGACATCCATTAGAACATGTTTCATGCTAAATAGCTTAGCTCTAGCTATTTTGGTTCATTAAAAGAAGATTTTTTAAGTTTTTACTATATGCATATAGGAAAAATCAATGACCCCCTGGGGCGGGGCCAATTTTGACCCCAGGGTTTTTATTTGAACAAACTTGGTAGACACCCATTAGAAGATGTTTCATGCAAAATATCTAAGCTCTAGCTCTTTTAGTTCTTTAAAAGAAGATGTTTTAAGTTTTTACTATATGCATATAGGGAAAATCAATGACCCCCTGGGGCGGGGCCAATTTTGACCCAAGGCCTTTTATTTGAACAAACTTGGAAGACACCTATTAGAAGATTTTTCATGCTAATTATCTTAGCTCTAGCTATTTTGGATTCTTTAAAAGAAGATTTTTTAAAGTTTTTACTATATGTATATAGGGAAAATCAATGACCCCCTGGGGCGGGGCCAATTTTGACCCAAGGGCTTTTATTTGAACAAACTTGGTAGACATCCATTAGAACATGTTTCATGCTAAATATCTTAGCTCTAGCTCTTTTGGTTCATTAAAAGAAGAATTTTTAAGTTTTTACTATATGCATTTAGGGAAAATCAATGACCCTCTGGGGCGGGGCCAATTTTAACCCAAGGGCTTTTATTTGAACAACTTGGTAGACACTCACCAGAAGATGTTTCATGCCAAAAATCTAAGCTCTAGCTCTTTGGGTGTTTTAGAAGAATATATTTTAAGTTTTTTCTTTCGGTTGCCATGGCAACCAGAGTTCTGCATGGAATTAAATTCTTTGAACAAATTTCAAAGGTGACCACCAAAGGAACATTCCTGTGAAGTTTGGATGAAATTGGCTGAGTGGTTAATGAGGAGATGTCATTTAAAGTAAAAGTTTACGGACGACGGACGGACGACGACAAAAAGCGATCACAAAAGCTCACCCTGTCACTTAGTGACAGGTGAGCTAAAAAGTAGGCCAATGGATATAAAAATTCAATTCAGGATCCGAAGTTATACCCCTTGTCCAAATTTTAAGGAGGTATATCAAAAAACAAGAAACGAGGTCAAACGATATCATTAATATCACAAGTAGTCAGTTGCTATCTTTATTCAATTTGCATCAGAAATTACATTCCTGGTCCAAATTTCAAGTCCGTACATCAAAAAAACAAAAAAGAAGGTAAATCTTTCAAAAATATAAATAACAGCTCAACGGATACCAAAATTCAATAACGCACATGAAACTTCAGGCAAATTTTTATTGAATCCAAGTTTGAATCCAATGCAACAAAAATTTAAAAAAAAAATAAAAATAAACAACAAAAAAACAAAAACAAAAACAATTTTTTACAATTCAATAAAAAAAAATAGCGCACCTTTGTTTGTAAGGTACAGGAAATAATATTTTTAATGTAATCTCTCCTGTGGGAAAATTCACTGACCTACAAATGAACCTGCAGAGGGATGAATAGAATGATGCAATCAATAGGTGTCCGAATTCTAGAGCTAAATGTTATTTGATGATTTGATTTTATTGTTACCTAGCAAACAAGATTGCATACACACCACAAAATTATTTGCTTGCTAACAAGATTGCATACACAACACTAAATTATAGTACAACAAATATATTTTACCATAGTGAGTTTTAGGGTCAGGGTCTTATTTAAATGACAAACAATGTGCAGATATGTTTTCTGTTCAGAAACAAAGCACATAGTGTAAGTTTTCTTAATTCACAAAACATTAAGCATTTACTGTATTACATAGCTGTATACTGTCTTTTCAATTAAGTATTACCTATTTCTGAAAACATTTACAATTAAAATCATCATTAGTGATAAGGTGTTGTTAATCATTATGTATATGTTAGTATTCTTTCATGCTGTTATACAGAAAGGCAATGATAGTGAGAGGAGAATGTTCCTTATTTCTGTAGAACAGCAACGGATGAATACCAACATATTTAGTATCAAGCTTTATTTGGTTTCATTCATATTCACTTAATTACATCACTGCCTGTCTATTTTTATTAACGCGGTTCTATGACACACTATGATAAAAAGAAGGCTTCTATGAACAGATTTTGATATAGTATCAACGTTTGTTTTTCTATGAAAATAAACACACAAACTGTTTAAGAAATGCAGCATTTTCATAGGATGACAATAAAGTTGGACACTGAGTCCTTAAAATGTGCTCAAATCATTTCATAAATACCATTTTTCTTGCTAGAGGTCATGTCCTCAAATAATTTCATCAGCAAACAGGTCGTTCACATGTATGAAAGACATTCCAACATGAGTTGTTTCCCTTTCATTAACATAATTTGAAAAATGCCATGGTCTGGGGTACTTTAGCTTTAGCAGCCACTAAAAGGGACCAATCAAATAAATATGAGCAAATTTTATAAAAGATTTCCTAAGAATGCTAATAACAAAGTTTGGTGATCATCCATCAATAAGTTCTTAGAACTAGAAATGTGTCCATAGGACACAGGTGTCCCCACACTCCACTGTTTTGTCAATCTTATGACTAAGTCAAATATTTTTTAGGCTACATGTGCCACAAGTTGAAAAGTAAAAATCGTTTACTAAGTCAAGGGCAAGAACTTTACAAATACTGAATAAATCTACAAGCAAACCCCAAGGTGCATGAGTACATGGCTGACCAATATTCTTGTAAACTTTCAGACCTACAGGTCAAATATGTTTTGAGTTATGCATGAACAAGTTGAAAATTGCAAATTTATACTAAGTCAAGGGCAATAACACAACAAAACTGAAAAAATCCACATTCTAAACCCCAGGTGCATAGTTTCACAGTGATGTTGATCATTGTTCCTGTAAAGTTGGTTGATTTTAACTCAAGGAACAAATAACACAACATAATGGAACGGTTTTCATTAAGTTAAGGGCAAAACATCTTACAAAAAAGAATAAATCCACAAGTGAAACCCCAGGTGCACAACCTCACATGCTGAGCAACATTCCTGAAAAGTTTCATGACACTAGATCAAATACATATTGAGTTACATGCGACACAAGTTGAAAATCGTAAATTTTTGCAAAGTCAAGGGCAATAACTCTAGAAATACTAAACATATCAACATATTCAGGTGCACAACTACACATGCTGCTCAACATTCCTGTAAAGGTTCATGACTCTAAGTCAAATAATTTTTGAGCTACATGTGACACAAGGTGAAATTTTCAAATATTTACTAAGTCAAGGGCAATAACTCTAACAAAACAGAATAAATCCACAAGCAAACACAGGTGCACAACTACACATGCTGAGCAACATTCCTGTAACGTTTCATGATAAGTTAGATCAAATACTTTTTGAGTTACATGCGACACAAGAGAACAGACGGACGGACAAGGGTAAATCTACATGCCCCCCCCCCCCTAAAGTGGGGGCACAAAAAGCTGTCTAAAGGTTTACTTTATTTCTAGCTCCCTTGAATTAATATGAGCAAATTTGATAAAAGACTACCTAAGAATGCAACAGACAAAGTTTGGTGATCATCCATCAATTGGTTCTGTACAAGAAGATGTCTAAAGGTTTTTCTATTTTTAGGTCTAGAGACCCCTAAAAGGGCCAATCAAATTAATATGAGCAAATTTGATAAAAGACTACCTAAGAATGCTGCAGACAAAGTTTGGTGATCATCCATCAATTGGTTCTGTAGAATCAGATGTCTAAAGGTTTTTTCTCTTTTTAGCGCTAAACGGGACAATTGGAATCATATGAGCAAATTAAGGTGTCACTGTCACAATGATGCTACATACCAAATTTGAAGAAAATCTGTCCAGCGGTTTCAGACGAGAAGATGATTGTTGACACATGACGCCGGATCATACCCCTTTGATACTATCAGCTCACCCTGATTTGTTTGTTTGTTTGTTTCATTTAACGCCTTTTCCCAACAGTATTTCAGTCATATAGGCGGGTAGTTTCCTAACCATCGTTTCTGGAGAGTTACACCAGTACTAGACTACCTTCCTCCGTGCTAAACTACCAAAACATCTCCCGGGGATCGAACCCACGCCAGAGAGGTAACTGGATTACAAGTCATCGACTCTAACCCCTCGACCACGGAGGCGGTCTAGCTCACCCTGAACCTTCAGTTCTGGTGAGCTAACAAACGTCAATAACTCCATAATTAGGCAAGACAGAGTAATAACAAAACTCACACTAAAACAATGTTTTGACTAATCAGAAATTAGATCTATTTCAGTACATATTAATTTCTTTTGTAAAGATAATTTAATTAACTTTACTTACCAATAAGTGTTTCTTTCAAAATTGCACTCTCTTCAAACTTGATCCATTCTTTAAATATTGTTGGATCATGGCTGCTGCAGAAGTATCGAGCAGTAATGAGACTTTTGAAAGCGTCTATCAACCACTGTGGATCAAGGACAATAGTTTGGCTTAATTCCTCTTCACTGAAGAAAATTCACAGTTTATAAAACAATTAAAATGTCATAACGTCCTTTTTCCTTGTTTGATAATTACCTTGTATTACATCTTTAACCGTATTATGCAATCCATGTCCATGTTTAAGAATACCATTCATATATACCGCTAAATTATATATAAATAATATATATATATAAATTTGGAGAAAATAAACGTTCATACAGTGCTAAAGTATAAATACCCAAGTACTTTCGGCGTAATATGCCTTCATTAGGGGTGTATTACATGTATAATGTGCGCACACAATCGAGCACAAAATCTCAATACGTGTGTACTGCTTAGTATCAAAAATTGAACAGTTCAAACTTATGATCAATGCTAGATCTGTCACAGAAAGTGACAAATGCCCCCGAAGGATTCTCGTTATAAACCACCTATTACATGCTAGTGTGGGGGTAAAAATTGACAAAGTTCTAACTCCAGCAGTGACCTTTAAGTAAGACAAAGAAACCGCGGTACTGTTCACAACACATTGTCCATCTATGGTGACTTTATATTTTTAAATAAAAATTGAAACATTCATGTATTTGGATGGTACATAGCAGACACAACAACCACCATTTATACGTCTATAACAGTATTGACCTTGAACTAAGGCGTAGGATTCCTGGAACACGGGTCTTCAAGGCAACACATCAAACATTTATGATAATTTCACATGATATAAAAAAATAAAATCCTTTCATGCATATAATTATTAGTTTCAGAGTAGACAAGACCATCTCTGCCTATATATATTAACATCAAAATTGATCCCACAGTGACCACCTTGACCTAAGTCATAGAAACCCGAAGCTGGTTCGCAACACACCACACATCTATGGTTATTTCATATATGAAGAAAAATTAAAATCGAAGTTTCAGAGCGGACACGACCACCACCATCTATATCTATATAACATGTTTGAACCTCCATAGTGACCTTGACCTTAGTTGTAGAAACCCAAGATTTGTTCGTGGCACACTTTTTATCTATGGTAATTTAATATGTGAAAGAAAAATTGAAGTCCTTACATGCATACTGAAGTTTCAGAGCGGCCAGGACCATCACCTTCTATATTTATATAACATCAAAAATGACAAAGTTTTTACCTCCACAGTGACCTTGACCTTAGTTGTAGAAACCAGAGTGTTGTTCACGACACTATACATCTATGGATAATTCATATGTGAAAGAAAAATTAAAATCCTTTCATGCATACTGAAGTTTCAGAGTAGACACGACCACCACCTTCTATATTTATGTAACATAAAAAATGACAAAGTTTGAACCCCTACAGTGACCTTGACCTTAGTCGAAGAAACCACGAGTCTTGTTCGCAACACTATACATCTATGGTTATTTCATATGTGAAAAAAATTACAATCCTCCCATGCATACTGCAGTTTCAGAGCGAACAGGACCACCACTTTCTTTATTTATATAACATAAAACATGACAAAGTTTGAACCCCTATAGTGACCTTGACCTTAGTCGTAGGAACCCGACTCTTGTTCGCGACACACCATACATCTATGGTTATTTCATATATGAAAGAAAAATTAAAATCCTTTCATGCATACTCAAATTTCAGAGCGGACACGACCACCACTGTCTATATGTATAAAGCTGGACGGACTGACGGATGGACAGACGGACAGTTCGATTTTAATATGCCACCCTTCGGAGGCATAAAAATGGCGGCGCGTCATAGCTTTGTCAACAAATGGGTCAAATGTGTACTTGGTAAATCGAGTTAGAATAGAAATGGGGTTTTTGTAGGTTATTTTTAGAATACTAAGAATTGGACATTTCTTACATCATGTGATTTGATTTGTCTGCAGCGTTTCAGTAAATCTAAAGAACAAAAATTAAACATGGGGCGAAAAGGAAAAGAAATAATGCTGGAGGTAAAAAAAATGATTGCTCAAAAATTATTTGAAGAAGGTAAAACAAATTATTTTGTATCAAATACTTGAAATGTGCCAAGATCGACGGTTGGATGTTTAAAGAAGCGATTGAGCAGAGAGATTCTATATAAAATATTCCAAGAAGTGGTAGAAAACCAACTGTGACAGAAAGGGAGTATAGGAGGTTAGAAAGGTTAGTTAAAAGTAATAGGAGAGACAGTTTACAAGATACAACGACTAAATTTAATGAAAACAGAGACAGGCCACTAGCTAAAAGGACATTACAATTTCATGGATTTAGGCAACGAGTAGCTAGGAAGAAACTGACTATCCGAGAGGTAAATCGCAGACAACGGTTGTCATGGTTCTGAGAAAAGAGGAAACTTACTGTTGAAGGTCACTGGAAGAAAGTAATATTCTCTGATGAGTCGAAAATTGTTGTTGGGAAAGATTCTCGGATATATATCTGGAGAAAAAGGGGCGAGGGGTGGAAACCAGACCTGGCCGGGTCTCGACGCGTCAAGCCATGCTTCGAACTAATGATATGGGGGTGCACAACCTGGTACGGGGTTGGAGTTTTAACAGCTGTAGACGGCAATATAAATGCCAAAAAATATCAATCTATCCTTGACGACAACTTGTTGCCAGTTATCGCACATCATTTTTCAACTTGGGGCTTTATATTTCAAGACAATAATGCGCCAGTCCACAGCGCTCGATCAACCTAGGAATTCCTTCATAGGAATGGAATACCAATAATGAGTTGGCCAGCACAGAGCCCAGATAACAATATTATAGAGAATCTGTGGCTTCTGATAAAAAGAAAACTCCAGGGACGAGTAGGGCGAATAGAAAGTCGAGAAGATCTTTTCCGGGAAATTCAGCGTATATGGACAGATATTACTCTGGCATACATTCAAACCCTCACCGGTCAATCCCAAGATGATTATTGAGTGTTATTCGACTGAAAGGTCATCTATCCAAGTACTAGGTAAGTTACAATAGAATACAGTAAGAATGAACCGTAATATTTATCGTAAACATTTCCTTCGCTTCTGTTATTTTTTAAGCGCACCGCTATTTTGTCCGAATATATATTGCACTGTACTGTATATTCATGTAAGGAAAAACTATGATTTCCCGAGGCAGGCCACTTTTGACACCAGGGGCAAAATTTGATCAAATGCCGTAGAGGATCTATAGACCCTTTCATTTAAGCGAAAACAGTCAGTGAAGAGTTACTTCCCTTACCGGATGTGACGTAAATGGGGGATGAAACTATGCATGCCGCATAGAAAGTTATTATTGAAAAGTTAAATTCGTAATTACTGATTGTTCAATTATGATAATAACATTAAAAAATTTACGCATGCATACATAAATTCAATATCAAGACAATAGAAAAAAAATCAAAAGCAAAGACTGCGATTAATTCTCGCTACCACGGATTTATAAATCCGTGTCGCTACGGAGTGAAACAGCGAAATTTCAAAGTGAATATATTTATTAGATCTAGATTTTCTTAAATGCCAGGATAAAAAGCTAGTAACTGAATCAAATTTTAATATTTAATAAACACCCATACACACTGAAATTGCCTATAATAAATTTAAATGGCCATTTTCTAGTTTTCTGTGTTATTTTCTGTCATTTAGAAAATTCCAGCATATTTGTGACAAACCTGAAATAATATTGCCAATTCCTTTAATGATTGTTTTTCAAGCTTTAAAAGATCGATAACAGAATGCATTATGTCAATACTTACTGATTCTTTTTCATTATACCGAATAAAAAATATTTTAAAAAACCAGTGAAGGATATAATTTTTTAAATATTCCGGAAAGAACGAAAACCATATGGCATTGACTTTTATAATTTTAGATTTGCAAAAGACGATAAGATAATTTTGATATTAAAAATCTATTCTTTAAAGACCTTTTCCCAGTAACTTAATGATTTCATAGATAAATAGATGTGTATATATAAGCGCCACTGGGCCGTAACATATTAATTAACCGTATATATACAAGCGGCACTTGGCTGTGATATCATAAATCACCAGGGTGCATTTTTAGAGTTATAACATTACATCAGATTACGTCACTTTTGTTAGTTATCAAAATATTTATGGTCCGAATTGTGTTATGGATGGCACAGTCAAAAATAAGTAAAATTATAATTCAGTTAATAACAAATTTCTGTAACTTGTTTTTGTTGTTCTTATTTTTGTGATTTTTTTAAATATTTGATAAGCAGAGTATGAATTAAAAAGTATCAAGTTGAAAATATTACTTTACCCATGGAGTTAAATATATGTTTATATATCTGTGCTTTATCAGCTTAAATATATTGGTGTGATGTACGATTTTTTGAGAGTGCATTTTTTGCCGACACAAATAGTATACAGTCATGTACATTCAAAACAATTTTTACTTTTTATGCCTTTACATTTTTTTTGAAATTACATAGATTTATATTGTTTTCTTTTATTAGACTTAGTAATGCTTAAATCAAAACGATTTTTAATAAACCAGTATCTTTCAATTAATTATTACGCAGCCGTTTTTCGAAACTACAGAATCCTTACATTTTTGAAACTCAAAATATATTTTGAGTATTGTATATTAGCAGAGACATATATACATTATCTATATCTCAGGTATTAGCAAGTTAGTACGATTTTTAGAACTGCCTGGTAAAATTTTCATTATGAAGAATCTAACGAAAATGATAATCATGATCAGTTACCCAGGAATATGGTCTACTATTAAAACAATTCGTTAACCATATTATATAGTAAACATATTAATTCATTTCACCATCCTTTTATTTATCTTATCAAATTACACACAATTTTGCCAATTTCAATCTGCCAATCTTAAAAGAGAAAGGATTAAGATCTTTATATCCCTCTATAAATGTACTTAAGCGTATCAGCATTGTCCACCGTATCCCCCAATGACGTCATCCAAGGGCGATAACTTGAATACGGTCTTAAATGAAAGGGTCTATAGATGATATTAAATACAAATTATCTAAGCTCCTAGTACTTTCAGACAAAAAGATTTTTTATGTTTTTACTATATACATATAAGAAAACCTATGACCGCCGGGGCGGGGAAATTTTGCCCCAATGGCTATAATTTGATCAATCTTGGTAGAGTTTTACTACACCATACTTCATGCCAAAAATCTAACTTCTAGCCTCTGTCAATTCAAAGGAGAAGAATTTTTAAGTTTTTACTGTACACTTTTATACACTGGGGCTATAATTTGAACAACTTTGATAGAGGACCTATATGTGATGTAATATAACAAATATATCATCTCTAGTAAGTAAGTAAGTAACGGCTTCATTTAATGAGGCAACACGCTGGGAAAGCCCAGTCTTCTCTGTGAGCCTGAACAATGTACAAAACAATTTATAAAATACGATTCATCAATAAGAGATTAAATAATTACATAAGTTGATTTCATTATTATACATTCATGATTGAAATATGTGAGATCAACCTGGAACAAACAAAATACATGAGTTGATAATATATGCATACATTCAACATTGAATTGGATGTTATCAAAAGTCAAAATTAACATATATATAAAACAAATATATTTAAACGAATATAAAAACAAATATCTACATAGCATCTAAGCATAGGTACCCACCAGAGAACCACCATGTTAAGTATGTTTTTTTGAATTGTGCAAGACTGTTTGATTGCCTGATATGTAATGGTAATTTATTCCAGATTTTAGGCCCAGAGTATGCAGGAGCTTTTCTGCAAAATTCTAATCTAGGTTTGGGTATATGTAGTGTCTGTTGAGTGTGTGATCTAAGAGTTGTGTGATTTGTGTACGAAAACAAATCAGACATATAATGTGGCAATAGATTGTTCAGGGATTTATATGTAAACAAGAATTGCCTTTTTATAAAGTATGCGGTTATGTATTTTTAACCAATTCAATTCATGAAACAATATGTCTGAGGGTGTATCAATGTCTTTGTCAATAAATATGCGCTTTGAAATTGTATAAGCTTAATACATTCATACTGGTCAGTAACAGGTGTGCAATAGTATATTAACAGTTATGGGAATTGTTAATCGTTGAAATAATAAGAATTGCATGTTTTAATTAGATGTTCAATTTGACAGTTCCATGATAATCTATGATCCACATGAATTCCTAGTAATTTTTCAGAGTAAGTAAATTGAAGGTCATTTTCCTGCATTTTCAAAATGTAGTCATTGTTTGATTTAATTGTGTTGTAAATAATATTTGATGGGGAGATTATCATTGCTTTTTTTTTAAGGATTTGGTAGCATAGAGTTTCTTGCACACCAGTCGTAGATGATGTCAATGCTTTTTTGTAGTGATCTGTAGACTGAGTCAATAGATGATCCAAATGAGGTGATAGTTGTATCATCTGCAAACATGTCAATATTTGTATTTGGAAGGTTTAAAGGCATATCATTTATATATAGACTGAATAGAGCGGGGCCAAGAATGGATCCCTGAGGGACTCCAGATTCTCTAGCTTTTTTCAATTCAGAGGAAAAGATTGTGCTCAGGTGAGCTAAAAATGTTTGATTTAATGCAATCCTGGCAAATAAACTACGTTCCTCATCCTGACATTTACCATTCATTAGCAAATCTGTAATATTTGATTCCTTAACACCTGTTTTACCTTTTCCAATGATACTAGTGCACATAAAAGTAAAACATCGCTCTCACATTATCATAAACAAACAGTACCTTTGTGTTCAACTGATGTTTTTAAGTTTCAATTTATATCCCTATAAAATAGGCATTACAGTAATTAAGAAAATAGATTCCAACAAAAATCTTTACATCATTGGGCCACAAAGTGATGATGCATGCCAAATATCTGAGCTCTGCACCTCGTAATCTAAAAAGATAATTCTCAGATGTGTTTTTCTTTGCAAGTCTATAAAATCAAGTGACCCCTGGGCGTGAACCAAAGGACATGATTCATTTCGGCTTTGTTAAGTCAATAAGGCAATGCTTCATGCTAAATATCAAAGCTCTAGACTTTTAGTTCCATACAATGAAACCTAAATGTGCGTTCATTTACAAGTCTATTTGAACAAAGTAATCCCCAAGATGGGGCAAATAATTAGTAGTATTTCTTTCAAAAAGCTTTCATTTTTTTATCAGTTCAAAAGATACAGAGCGGACAAAAATTCGGACGGAAATTCTCACTAAAAAGTAGCCTAAAAGAGTCCGCTCAAGTAAAATACATGTTACAGATCGAAATATATAATTATTCTATAATAAGGATTCATACCTGAAGTACAAAATATTTCCGGAGTCGTGATGAAAACGTAAAAACAAATCCAGTCCTTCCTCCTGTTTTATTGGAACAGGTAATTTGGCGTTCAGTTCAAATAGTTGGTCCTTTTTTAGTATCTGTAATTTGCATTCAGTGTCGATATAAAGGTTTCTGCAACTTCATTTAATTATTGACAATGTTCAACTTGCGTGTCATATACTTCAACATATGTATAATAAAAGAAAAGGAAAAATTATAATGTATACAAGAGCTTTTGGTAGGACAGTACACCTGACAAATCTCATCATGCTTTATAATAAAACAATAGCTTGGATAATGTATAATTTTCAAAATTCAAAAAAGCCATAATTCTGTCAAAATCAATGTTAAAGTAATGGGCCTTGGTCATCGACCTGCTTCTATAATCCTTCATAATATTGCACATTTGTAACATAGCTTTTCATTGGAAAATCATGACATTGATATAGCTTTATATACACGACTGCTGTCGATTTATGAAGAAATCTCACTTTTTGCACTAAAAATGATGCTTGCTATATTATAAATTCGTTATAAATATTTCTGACAAGTATAATGGCTGTATATAAACGGTTGTTTGCAATATAACCATCGCCTAGCCGTTCGGGTTATACTTCCAAACAACCGTTTATATAGGGCCATATAGCCTGTCAAAAATCTTTATAACTAATAACATAAGTGTGTATGTTTTATACTGTTTGAGATACATAAATGCATGCAAAAACATAACAAAAATGTGACATTGACTGTTACACCTTGCTGGATGTATCATTGTTCCTTATTCTTCAAAAAGAAATAGTCGAGCTAAAATTATAAAGCAGTTTAATCATCATACTTGATTTAATTATAATATTTTTTATTGATATTTAGTCATTTTAACATATAATTATGACGCCACTTCCTTAAAGCCAAACTTGATTTCTTGCTTTTGAAGTTAACCAACTAGTTGCATATTTTTAATTAAAACTTGAAAATTCCCCTGAAAGATTTACCCCTACCTGCTCAACTGTATTGAATTAAGGCTCTTCACGAAACACACAAATTATTACTGATCATCTGAATAAAAGTGATTGCTGTACATTTGATAAAAGCTCTAAATATTTCTTATTTTCATATGAAAAATTTAAGGGATAGGCTCTTGCAAAAAAAATTAAAAGGTACACAATCACTTTAGTTACTTTACAGTTTTATATAAATGATTGAATAGGTGCAGGTCCATGTCATTTTATACGATTGTAAAGTTTCGATTTATGTAAAAAGTCATGTTTTTTATGCATTGTATTCATTAATATATGCATACATGTAATTACATATTTATTGTACAATGTATAACATAAAGACTAGAAAAAGAAACAAGGAGGTTCTCACCAGAAACAACTGCTTTTCAGTGTTGGAATTTATGCATTTTCAATATTTTCTAATATTAAATTTGAGCATAGACTATCTGTAAACTATAATTTGAAGAAATGCCATGAGCTGGAGCATTTAAGCTTTAGCTTAAATGGGACTAATCAAATTAATATGAACAAACTTGATAAAAGACTACCAGACAAAGTTTTGTGATATCCATCAATTATTTCAGTAAGAGATGATGTTCAAAGGTTTTTTCTATTTTTAGCTTTAGCGGCCCATAAAAGGGGCCAATCAAATTAAGATAAGCAAACTTGATAAAAGACTACCCTAGAATGCTACAGCCAAAGTTCAGTGATCATCCATCAATCAGTTTTGTAGAAGAAGATGTCTAAAGAATTTTTATTTTTAGGGCAAGAGACCCCTAAAAAGCAAACTTGATAAAAGACTACCTAATAATGCTGCAGACAAAGTTTAGTGAGCATCCATCAATTAGTTCTGTGGCCGAAGATGTTTAAAAGTTTTTCTATTTTTAGCACTCCTGACCCCTTAAAGGGGCCAATTGAAATGACATGAGCAAATTCAAGTGTGACTGTGACAAGGATGCTACAGACCAAATTTGAGGTAAATCTGCCTAGCATTTTCAAAGGAGATGATTGTTGACACATGACGATGGACGCCGGAGAATCCCCCTTTGATACTAATAGCTCACCCTGAACCTTCGGTTCTGGTGAGCTAAAACCTGAAAATTCCACTATTAATGTTACGTATTATAAGCAACACTTCTTCTTTAATTTCAAAATTTCTATTTAGTTTTCCTGAAGGTAAAAGTCACTTCAGTCTATGGTTGTCCCTTGTATTAATAGATCAATGTCTTTCTTCTTCACTTGCTCCTTATGACTGAAGGATATATTTTTGCTTACTACCTAATCAAAACTATGAATTAAAAACAAAATTTTCACTCGCCTGCCCATTTCTTTTCTGTAAAAAACTTTTGACGGACAAGAAATAGATTTGGTGAGGTCTAACATAAAACAGAATTTCTATTAATGCAATAGTATTACCTTTTCTCCTTTGTCCTTCAATTTGACAATACTTCTTTCTAATGTTATAAATTTGGCTGGGTAAAGTTCACCCCAATACTCTTGTTTGGAAGCTTGTTTGGAAGCTTGTTCAGCTTCTTCCACAATATATCGTTTCAGTTCCTCTATATTATCATCCTTTATTGAGTTGTCGATTGGAATGCATTTTTTCAGAAGATTGAATGTTGCCTCATGATCCATAAGACATCGCCGCAAATTGTAGAAAAAAGTACTTATGGTTTCTTCTTTTGACTCCTGCTTATAAATATAATGTTTTTATGATTTTCCCTCAAATATCAATATATCTAAACTATTGAAACATTTGAAAATCTCCACTTTTTTATTTCAGTAGAATGTTGTTAATGTATTACACAAGTATATCTATATTACACATATATCCGTCATCTGTGAACCATCACCAGAAGATAGCTTATCTCTTAAATGCAAAAGTAGGTCTTTGTTATATATCACTGGGCAATTATTTTTGACAATATTTTTTGTTAAATTTCACATGACAAATTTCTCAGTACTATGTCATGTTACTTCACATTTTTGTATGCCTTTGCAAGATATAAATCTATCTTAACTGAGTGACCACACTGGTAAGGCCACATTTTGACTGCAAGGATACTTAATTGATATAACCTTTACAGAAGTCAACAACGTTATCCTTTTTAACAATAATCGATGTCTGCACACATGGTGAAATAAATATGTTAATGTTTTTCTACATAAATCTGCGTAAACTATGTGACCCTTAGCCATTTAAGGCATTGTGTTATCCCAGGTAAGGATATCAGATAAAACACTTCTGATTGTTTTGACTTTAGGTTCCTGTGACCTACTAATGCATTAAACTAGAACCATAAAATAACTTTTGTAGAGAATAACATAGGCATCATTCCAGTGAAGTTTGGTTAAAATACACCATGTCGTTTAGGAGATGTTGTAAATAAAAATGAACTCTTATCTATATCTTATCATCACAACAGATCCTAATCAAATATCTGTTCACATTGTACTCAATTGAGCTGAATATAGTATAATTATTACTTTTTGTTTCCTTCAGTTTGTTTAAAAGCAACAATTATCAGGTAATGTATTTTAATTTAATGAAATCAATTTTAATGTTCTGGAAAAGAGAGATCATTTGGAAATTATTACCGAGTCATATTTTTTCCTACAAATGTAAGATTTACCTATTACTTGAATTAATAATGTCCCTGGACCGAAACTTTCTTTAAACCTTATAACATGTATATGAAACTTTTGTAAAGATCCACTTGGCAACATGCCAAATATCTAAGTTTGTGTTCCATACAAGTTATTTTCTATGAGAGTTACCAAAGTATGGGGATCAATTTCGATTACAGGGCATTATATATATATATACAAATGTATATACATTTCAAATGTATTGATCAATACAATAAGTGGTCTAGACATGGCCATGACATAATTTAGGTAGAATATGCTAATCATCACAAGGTAATCATACATTTGATATTCAGGCATTGCCTCTACTGAGTAGAAAAGTTTTGTAAAATTAAGCATGTTTCCTATATAGCTTAGGTTAAACTTTGTAACCCCTAAAAAGGGGCCTGTAAGATTTATTTAATCTTGTAAATGTCTACTAGGCAAAGTTTCATGCTAAATATATTTCATCTAGCACACAAAACAACGAAAATAAATGTGTTCCATATAAATCAATGTACGCTCGTAACCCATGGCGGAACAATTTTCACGAAGGGATATACTTTATGTTCCTTGTAACAGGGATGTGCAGAGCGCAGGTTTGACCTTCCTCAGGTCAAGGTTACACTTAATTATTTTGTATCAATTTCAATATTTCTTGTCCGATTTGTATTTTTGAGTCAAAAGAAAGAAATTAAATTTTTTTTGGCAGAAATATTACTTATAATGAGATGTGTATAACGCAGGTGATAACTTGATTTATATAGAAAATAACATAGGAAAATAAATCTAAGTTTCATTGTTTGAAACTATAATGTCTAGAGCTTAGATTATTTAGCATATTGCATTACCTTATTGATTTTTAAAAAAAACATGTCCCTTGGTTAAATATTGGCCCAAACCCCAATTAAATTATAAAGATTTATATTGGAAAAGCACATCTGAGAAATATTGTGTGAAACTACAATGCCCAAAGGTTAGAACATAATTTTGTGGACTACAAAATATACAGTATTAGTCATGCCCCTTGGGTCAATATTTGCCTTGCCCGGGGGGAGTCATAGCTTTGTATAGAAAAACACATTTAATTCTTATTTAGATGAAACTACAGTGTTATGAGTTTAGAAATTAAACCTGAATCAGTGCCTTGTTGACCTGTACAAAAATGTTTTAAATCACGCCGCTTATGTCAATATTGGCTTCGCCCTTCATGTCACTCAGTTGGTATAATCATGTATGAGAAAACACATTATTTCAGTCTTATTTTGTGAAACTACAATGCCAAAATTAAAACTGGGAGGTATAATAATGTAATTAAGCATTTGTCACCTGTTTTAATTTGTCTGCAAAAGCTCCAACAAGTATAACTGGTGGACCATAACTGTCTTTTGTACCACAAAACTCATAAATGGAAGTCAGCCAAAAGTCAACAAATTCTGGTTATATAAACATATACTCCATAATCAATTTTTGTACAAGATATAAACAAATCAAAAGTTATCTTGCTTATGTTATGAATAAAAACATAATAAAAAGAATAAGAACATTACACAATGAACTAAAGACTTATTTCAAAAAATTATAAGTATAATTCCTAATTAATTTTCTTTATTAATATGTCTTACTGTTGCTCATTTGGGTGTTGCATTAAAGTTCTTTAAAACTAAAACAACTAGAGCTATCACTGAAGATGATTAATACCCCCACCAGCAACTTTGACTTTTTGAAAATAATTGGTCTTAAGTTGAAACTTTTGAACTCAACCTATAGTAAATTAAGTAACAACTGTGTACAAAGAATTATTTCAATTATTTGTAATACAAACTGGGGCCTTCATATAAGCTTGTTATACACAAAGTTTGATTACAATATCTCATTTCTAACTCTAGTTATTGTCTGGAAACCATTTTTTTTTTTAATTTTTAGTATTGGTGACATTTACCTTGACACAAGGAGGTCAAATGCAAAACCAACCAGGGTCTTCATATATGTTTTGCTAAACACCAAGTTTGATTACAATGTCTCATTCCTAACGCTAGTTATTGTCAGGAAACCATTTTTTTTGTATTTGCGACCTTGCGGGTCAAAATACAATACCAACCCGGAATTCCACATAAGGTTGCTATATACCAAGTTTGATTACAATACCTAATTCCAAACTCATCATAGTTATCATCGGGAAACCATGATGTGGACTGATCGAGGGATGGACGGACCAACCGACTGGCCCATCAACTGACAAGCTAACTCCCATATACCCCCCTTAAATACGTTTGTCGGGGTATAGTAATTTTCAGCATTATATCCTTTAGATATCCACGAAAAAAGCATGTATTTCAATACAATTTAAAGTTTAAAATATATCTTAAATATTCTGGAGAATGTTTAGTATTATTGCATTGAATAGTGAGCACAATATATTCAAGTATTCATTATCTTTTGATTTCTGACAAATGAAATACCTGATATTTTCCAATTTTTGTTACCATCTTCAACTATATCATTTACTTGTTTCGATATGTCAGTGACTAGTAGATATACAGCTTTTTTGGTTAAGAAAACCTGGTGGGTATCATAAAATTCTGTCTGTCCTGCAAAGTCCCAAATTGAGACATCCGCTGTTTTTGAATCTTGAGTCGGCATCTGCATACTTTCATGTAGAGTATCCTAAGAATGTTTGTATAATTTGTAATGAAACTTTAAATTGTTATAGTAAACAGGTACATTTCTGAAAAGTGTAGTAGTACCCCAAAAGATATCACAATATGCCTTCCATCAATTACACTTATTTAAGAGGCTGAAAATTTGCAATGCATTTTAAGCTCTTTAAAATGAAAATTAAGGCCAAACGTTAAAGGGACTTAAAGAGGTTTTTTGACAGAACGGGACTGCAAATATTTTTTTGAGATTATTACTCTATTTGGTGTAGATCTATACTTATAACTTATGTGCAAAATTTCAGATCATTGGCTTGTTCCGTTTTACCAAAATAATAATTATAATAGTGAAAAGTGACCCAAAATTAAGAAGCGTTTAAATGCTTTCACTCGAATCGGACAGAGAATAGCACAAACATCAGATTTTCAATGTTTTTCCTGTATGTTTCTTAGTTATATTCTATTTCCATTTCTGTTTTAAAAGCTCGTGTTGATCTATGCGGAATATTAAAATTTAATGTTTTTAGGCTTATCAACCTCGGTGGAGTTCCTTTAACAATGTGCAAGTTTGATATAAACTTTAATAAATAAGATAAATAAATAATATATATACTGTGCTCCTCTTAGTTCGCGGTACTTAAAGAATCATCATACCAAAAAATATTCCTATAATTACTATAACAGTATGTTTAACATACCTGTAAATCTTTAACAATCTCAATATCACTATATTTTACTCCATTTGAAGTAAAAGCTTCCTCTTCATCATTGACAACTTTTTGGTTAGCTGAAAGAGGAAAATGGTGTAATAATATTCTGAAAAGTGTAGTAGTACTTCAAGAAAAAACAGAACTAAGGCACTAAGTCAAACACTTCATATTTGTTATATTGTTTGATCAAACCCCTTCCTGAAGCTTTACATCTAACAAACACTGTCAAGGTCATTTGGCAACTTTCCTGCTAATACAGGCCAGACAAGAATGCATTTGTGCACAAATGCTATGACACCGCATTGATATAACAGAAGTAGATTTTTTGTTCCTATACAATTGAACTTTGCCATGACAAAGTTATAGTCCGGACGCGATTGTGTGGACCTATAATCTCTCAAAGTGTGATTTTGACCTTTAAAAAGAGACATGGTTTTTGGACGCAACACAACATTGTCATGTAAAAGACATTTGAGTCAAGTTATTTCAAAATTCCTCAATGCAGGACAAAACTGCAGTCTGGACATTATTGTTGTGTAAGTGGGGATGCACTAGCGGACAGACAGACATGAGCCTTAGCCATAACACATCGTCTTGATGTGTTAGATATTTGTGCCAAATTATTTGAAAATCCTTCATTGCATGACAAAATTACAGTCCGGATATGAATGTGTATCTTTAAACTCTTATCAAGAGAATGAGTACAATCAAACTATAAGTGTGACCTTGACCTTGAAGGAAGAGACAGGGGTCTGAGACACGACATGTTATCTTGATATGGTTGACATTTTTGCTAAGTTTTTAAAAAATCCTTCAATGCATGTGTACTAATTAACTCTAATTGTGTAAATGTGAAACTTTAAAGTTTGCGTGACCTTGACATTTGAGGTAGGGATATGATTTTTAAATGCAAGACATCATCTTGATTGGTAAACATTTATGCAAAGTTATTCTAAAATCCTTCGATGCATGACAAAGTTACAGCCCGGAAACAGTTGTGTGTACCTAATTGTGGAAACTTCAAACTGTGAGTGTGAACTTGACCTTTGAGGAAGGAACGTAATTTTTTAATGCGACACATCATCTTGATGTGGTAGACATTTATTTATGTCTGGTTATTTTAAAATACTTCAATGCATGACAAAGTAACAGTTCAGACAGGAATATGTGTACCTATTAACTCTTATTGTGAAAAAGTGAAACTTCAAAATGTTAGTGTGACATTGACCTTTGAGGTACGGACGTAATTCTTAAATGCGACACATCGTCTTGATGTGGTAGACATTTATTCCAAATTATTTTAAAATTCTTCGATGCATGATAAAGTTACAGCCTGGACACAATTGTGTGTACCTATTAACTCTAATTGTTGAAACTTCAAAATGTTAGTGGGAACTTGACCTTTGAGGTAGGGACGTATTTTCTTGACGCCACACATCGTCTTCATGTAACAGACATTTATGCCAAGTAATTCTAAAATCCTTCAAGTAATGCATGACAAAGTTACAGCCCGGACACAATTGTGTGTTCCAATTAACTCTAATTGTGGAAATGTGAAACTTAAAAGTTAGTGTGACCTTGACCTTTGAGGTAGGGACGTGATTTTCGGATGCAACATATGGTCTTGATGTGCCAAGTTATTCTAAAATCCTTCGATGCATGACAAAATTACAGTCCGGACACGAATATGTGTACCTATTAACTCTAATTGCGATAATGTGAAACTTTATCATCATGATGTGGTAGACATTTATTTGTTTCTGGTTATTTTAAAATACTTCAATGCACGACAAAGTTACAGTCCGGACACGAATATGTGTACCTATTAACTCTAATTGTGATAATGTGAAACTTCAAAATGTTAGTTTGAACTTGACCTTTGAGCTAGAGATGTAATTTTGGATGCAACACATCGTCTGGGTGTGGTAGACATTTGTGCCAAGCTGTTTTAAAATCCCTCAATGTTTGACAAAGTTACAGTCCCGACAAGAATAAAAGGGGACGCAAAGATAGACTGACGGACGGTGCGATAATAATATGCTGCCATTCAGCGATATAAAAACATAATGATTATTATAAACATAGTGTGAATCATAATGTCATTATAATGTGCTCAAATTGTTTGTATCTCTACAAGGATCACAATTGTCTTGCTACAGTTCATGACATGAATTATTTCATAAATATCTCTAAAAATCATGACCTTTAGACTTAATCCCAGCTATTGAATATTTTACATAAATATTGCATATTATGTATTAGAGGTTTAAATGTAAGTTGTTTCCTTTCACGCAAAAAGATTTTGTAAGTTTTTACTATATGTACAAAATGAAAATCAATGACCCTGAGGCGGGCCAATCATGACTACAAGGCTATAATTTGCAGTCTTAGTAAAGGTCTACTATACAATAACAAATATCCTACCTCTAGCCTTTGTCAATTAAGATTTACATATATAAAAAACCTATGACCCCCAGGGCAGGGCCAATTTTGACACTACAGGCAACGTTTGAACAACTTTGTTATTGGACTTATAGATGACATCATATACCAAATATCAAAGCTCTTAGCCTTGTACCTTCAGATAGATTTAATAAGTTTTTACTAAATGTACATAATGAAAATCAATGTTAAGCGAAAACGATTTTTTAAGATAACACTATATACATATACAATGTATGTAAAACCTATGATATCCAACCACCAAAGCGGGGCCAATTTTACACTAAAGGCAAAACTTGAACAACTTTGGCAGAGGACCTAATTATTAGATGATATCATATACCAAATAGACAAGAAGATTTTTATGTTTGTACTAATTATGTACATAGTGAAAATCACTGACCCCCAGGGCGGGGACATTTTTGACCCAAGGGCTTTAATTTGAACAATCTAGGAAGAGGTCTACCAGACAATGCCACATACAAAATATCTAAGCTCTAGAACGTGTGAGTCTTTTAAAGATTTTTTTTTAAATTTATTCTTGGGTTTTATTTTTTTCATTCCTTTTGGTTGCCATGGCAAGCAGATTTCTGCATGGAATCAAATTTTTTAAACAACTTTAGAAGCCCTTTACCAAAGGAGCAATTTAGCCAAGTTTAGTTGAAATTAGACTAATGGTATTTCAAAAGAAGATTTTTTTAATTCACTATACTTTCTATATAAAACACGCACGCACGCACACACACACACACACGCACGCACACGCACACACACACACACACACACACACACACACACACAGATGAATCGCTGTATGCCATCGCAGATGCTGCCTTGGCATAAAAATATTGATTACAATTAAGTTATTTCTATTGGTCTTAATGTCATATGAACTATATCCCTATATCATAAATGCTACATGGAATAAGATGACATGCCCGTGGGCAGCATGTCGAGTCCGCATGTCTTAATTCAAAACAGAACCTATAAGCTTCAGATCAAGGAGGAAGGTGCATAAATATGTCAAATGTGCGCAACAATCTTGACAATAAATCATCTTAGATGAAATTGACCTCTGACCTGATGACTTGGTTCGTGTTCATAACATGAAGTCTGATGATGAACATTTGTTCCTACAAAGTTCATGTTATTTATAAAATACCTTCATGCATGAAGAAGTTATGGCATGAAACAAGTTTGGACGTACGTAAACACACACAACACTGAACAACATTTTTGACAACTATGTCAAGCTCAGCGCAAGCGGATTTACAAAAATCCTCAGACCATAACACAACAAAGCATAAGCAAGATGGGGACAAACAAATTTTGATATTTTTAATTGATCCTTGACCTCTTGTCACCTTGACCTTCATTTCGTGCAAAACAACTCAACTGACGGACGCACATATCCCAAACCTCTAAAAGTGAAGAGTGTTTAATAAGTCGACCTCACCACAAGCAGGCTCAACAATTTCAGAATCCTCTGACCAATTAGCATAATTCTTCAAACCATAAGCAAGATACGCCAAAAAACAAATTTTAATATTTTCATTTGACCATTGACCACTTTTGGCATTGGCCTTCATTTTACGCTAGACACAATGGAGAACATTTGTGCTAAGTTACATTGAAATCTATCCATGTATATAGAAGTTATACTCACAAATGAATATTTTTTACTATTTTGCTATTTGACCCCTGACCCCTAAGAATGAACTTGGCCTTTGCCACAGACACCTAAACTTTTGGCGCGACACTCTCAATCGAGAATATGTGTCTCGAGTTATTCTAAAATTCCTCAATGCATGTAGAAGTTACGCTCCAGACACGATTTTGGGGTGACCCAAAAGTGGGACTTTTACCTCTGAGCGGCTGACCTTGGTTTTTTGTGCAACACGGAAGGGCACACATACACAGAACTATATGCAACAGTGACGACTAAGTCGAGCTCACCACAAGCCGGCTCGACAACAAGAGCTGTCACAGACGCTCGACTAATCAAATACTGGACACAGTAAGGAATACTAAAGTATGAAAGAAAATTCAATTACGATATAATATATTTCTTCTCATGACAAGAAGTTATAGTTGTAACGTACTTTAGTTCCAAGTTCAAGGGAGAATAATTCTAGAAACAGTCATACTACTAGAGTTATGGACCATGTCACACAACATGTGTGTAATGATAAGAAATATAAATTTGAAGTTTAAGTTAAAATTAAGTTGATTTCAAGTTAAAAAGTAAAGAAGTTATAATATTTCTTAAGGAAAATTCTAAGTTAAAAGGGAGATAAATCTGAAAAATCTTGCTTCAAGAGTTATGAACCTTTTCACATAAGATCTGTTTTACGTAAAAAAAGAGGTATTTAAATTTTGAGGTAGATACCTTTAAAACTAATGAAGTTATAGTAATAAATAACATTTTTTAAGTAAAAAATATAAGTAAATGGGGAGATAATTCTTGCAATATTGGTGCTAGAGTTATGAACCTTGTCATATAAGATGTAATTAATAATAAGAAACATAAATTATATTTGAAGTATTAAGTTAATCATTGAAGAAATAAAGAAGAAACAGTAAAAATAATATTTTTTAAGGAAAATTGTATGTTCAAGGGGAGATAAATCTGATA